TTAGAGAGAGAGAAAGGGAAATGGAGAAAGAGAAATTTCAATAAGCGATTGTGAGAGATTGATTAGCTGCCTCCTACCTGCACCTTACCAAATACCGAGCCTGAAACCCACATATGCCCTGACTGGGAATCCAACCAGCAACCTTTCGATACATGGGATGATGCCCAACCAACTGAGCCACATCGGCCAGGGCTGAGTTGCTAATTTAAAAATTTATCTTTGTCAATACTAGGTTTCAGTTTATTTGTAAGTATTTTCATTTTTTGCTATTGCAATTTGGGCTTATATTTCTTTTTTAAAAAATTAAGGTATAATTGACATATAGTCATGTTTTCTAACCGGTTGTTGTTCGTATAGATGAAGGCAATTGATTTTTACACACTAATTTGATACCATCCATCTCAAGTTATAATTGAGTTCCTTGGTTTTCCAGGTACACAGTTATCTGTAATCAGTAATAAATGTCCTCTTCTTCCAGTGTTTATACCTCTTATGTTTTTCTCTTGCCTAATTCCATTGGAAAGCCTCCAGAACTATGCTAAATAACAAACTGTAGACATAATTGTCTTGCTGTCGATTTTAATGGGAATGTGTCTAGGGTTTCCTCATTAAACATACTAACAATGCTTTTAAAATGCTATCTTCCCTACTTTATGAAGATTTTTTAAAGTCAAATATGGATGTTGAAATTTATCAGATGTCTTTCCAGCATATTTGGATAAAATCATACAAATTTTTTTCTTGTAATCTATTTTATCAGCCAGGGTTCAGCTGCAGAAAACAGAAAGGGATTTAATGCCAGGAATGAAAATCAGTGAAGAGCTGGAGGAGGAGGCTAACTCCCAGCATAACTCCCCGAACCACACTGCAGCACTGCCCACAAGAGACCCGCTCCCTCCCTCTGCGGCAGTCAGGAAGTCAGACTCACACCCATCCTTTAGCTCCAGGAGCAAAGGGATGGGTGTGAGTCTCTCATTCCTAGATCACATCAGGATTCCATGTGATCTAGGAATGAGAAGTTGCTATCAGAATTCTTAGCTCCAGGAGAACACTCCTTCCTACCTGTCACTTCTAGATCAGGAAACTGATGCTTGAACTGTCAGCTCCAGAGTTTCATCCTGCCTGCTACACACACACACCCGCAAAATGTATGCCTCAGGCATCACCTTTTCTCCTATTTAATTGAGTTTGAAATCAAGTTTCACAGGAGTGCATCTTATTGGCAAAACGTATTTTACATTAGCTCCCTAGCTGCAAGGGAGCTTGGGAAACGAGAATCCTGAGTTTTTCAGCCTATGTAGAATAGGATGGCACGCTAAAAAGAAATAGGAATAGATGCTGGATGAGCCAACTGACTGTACCCAACCACTTCCCAACATAGTGAATAATATTGAATCATTCTTATGATCCTATGGAGAAAAGTATTTTTCTTTTCCTTCCTCAGAGATGCTGCTAGATTTCATTTGCTAAAACTTTAGTAAATGTTTTTTGCATCAATAGTCATAATTGATTTTTGTCAGGTATTTTGTGTGCAATTGCTGTCAGTTTTGAGTAAGAAGCATATGTCACTTTTATTATTAGAATTTGGAATTTTCTTTGTTTTGTCTCTGTTCTGGAACAATTTAAAACATTAGAGCCTACTTATTCCATAATATTTGGTAAAATTAACCTGTGAAGCCCTCTAGGCTTGGTGGTCTTTGGGAGCCTATCGTTTTGACAACTTTTTCCCTTTTTTTAGGTTTTTAATGTTTAATGTTTAATGTTATTTGTGCTACCTGAATTCTTGATCAGGTTAGCTAGTGGGTTTATCTATCTTAATTTGTAAAATTTATTCATTGTAATCACCATTTATCTGCTTTTTATTTTATCACTTTCTGCTTTAACACTTCTTAATTCATTTTTTCTTTATTCCTTTTTTTGTTTGTTGATTTCCTCCTAAGCTGGGTAGCTAATTCATTTATTTTTATTCTTTCTTATTTATTAATATAATTATTGAAAGCTAATTTTCTTGTGAGGATTGCTTTAGCTATAATCCATGGATACTAATATGTAATGTCACCAATGTTTTCTAATTCATTTTCAGTTTTATTTTTTTATATCCTTTTTTACTCCTGAGTTTTAAAATTCCAGGTAATGCAGTCTTTTTGCTTTCTCAGTTAGTTTGCTTGAGAATTATATCTGCATTATTTCTGCTCTTTGGCATTTATTGAGGATTTGTGACCTAAATAAATGGCAATTATATATATATATATATATATATATATATATATATATATATATATATATAATTGATTTTTTAGAGAGAGGAAGAGAGAGGAATAGAGAGTTAGAAACATTGATCAGCTGCCTCTTGCACACTCTCTACGGGGGATATGCCCGCAACCAATATACATGCCCTTGACCAGAATCGAACCAGGGACCTTTCAGTCCGCAGGCCGACGCTCTATCCACTGAGCCAAACCGGTTTCAGCTAAATGGTCATTTTTTGTGAATGTTTCATGAATGTTAAAAAGGAAGGTATAGTTCCTGCTTTCAATGAATAGAGTTCAATATGTTAGTTCTATCTTACAAATTTAGATTTACATGCATATAAAATATGTCATGTAAGCCACTCTATATTGAGAGCCCATTCCTCCCTTATTATGCCCTTTTCTGGGAAGTCTCCCCATGGCTTGGCAGCCTTAAGGAGGTAGAGCAGTTTTGCAATTTGTCTGAAAGCTATGATCCCGAGCTCTGCCAAGAGAGTGAACATCCCTGCCTGTGAAACTAAGGACCAGTCCTTGCAGAAACATTGATAGGAAATAGATCTACAAGAACTAGTCATTATCTCTCACTCATTTACACCAGCGGTTACGTCAAGCACACACTTGAATTTACAAATTTGACAAACCCAAAATCTTTCTTTTCTTGTTTTTCCTTTCATTTTTGATCCCACCAAAGTTTCTACCAGATTCTTCCCTCACACTGCTCTATAACACCATCTGTGCAGTCTCTCAATACTGCCTACTTCCAAGCTCAAATCAGAGTGGTATTTCCACTTCCATGTACTTCCCTGTCCTTGGCAACTGGTTTGCTATCTACAGTCTTTCCCTAGTAATGGTTCTAATACTTGTTGATTTTTTTTTTTTTTTTTGCCAACATGAGTAAGTCATAAAATATTTCTGTGCTCCAAATTATGCTCATCACTAGACATTTACTATTTGTTACATTTTATAGGTATCAGTTAATGTTAAGCTGGCAGTGGCAGGATTATCTCAGCAAAAATATAAAAAGCAGTGTTTTTAAAATTTTTCTGGTTGTTTTTCTCCAATAAAAAGAAGCCCAGAGGTAGACGGTATAACTGCTCAAATCTCTATATATTAAAGCCTAAGTGACCATACAACCAAACAACTTGAACGACCGGAACAACTGGTTGACCAGTTGCTATGACACCCACAGCCAACCCCAACTAGGGGGCCAGCTGGCCAACCTCCCATGGTCCCGCCCCTCTGCTGGCTGGGCCCCCATAGGTCTCTATTCTGGCCAGGATGAAGGACTCCACCAATCACCATGCACGAATTCATGTACTGGGTCTCTAGTTAATACATAATAATTGTAAAAATAATAATAACAACAACAACAAAAACTCCAACATTACAGAAGTCCCAATCGCTCTGTTTTCTTTATTAGTTTATTGATTTATAACTTGTTAACTTGTACATTTGTGTATAGGGATCTTTTTTTTTTTAATTCTCAAGCAAGAATCAATACTTAATGGAAAAGTTATTTTGTTCTTATGAATACGTAGATAATATGACGGTTTGATTTTCTCTTTAACTATAAAAGAATGACCTTCTGATTACTTTTTCTGAAATTAATTTTTAAATGATAGGTTCGTGTTCATCAAATAAGTTGGAATTCTCAGGGGAAAGTGCTCAATTGGGTCTAAGTGGTGTAGTCATAAAACTGCCAACCACACTGAAGATTTTTCATTTTCCCAAGGCTGATCTAAGGAAGGTAAACCTGGGACTACCTACAAATGACCATTCAAACATGATTGATTGTCTTCTTTATTTTCTACTGGCATGCAGTGGGGGGGGGGGGGGGGGGAGATAAAAAGAGAAAACACTGAAATTGAACACAAATACAACCGAAAGGACCCAACTATATACAAATTGATTTTATAACCACACAGAGAAAAGACAGATTAGATTTCAGAAAACTTTTGAACATAACACTCTGCCTGGATATCCTGTCCAGAAGATATTCCAAGGATGAAAAGAACTGCAAAATGGTCTTAAACGTCACTTAGTAAGTTTACTACTGTTAGTGGTAATATTAGAATTCTAATTGGAAACTACCTAATTGTGTGAGTAAAAGCAAATAAGTAAGTATGCTGATATTCTAAGGAACCCAGAATTTCAGTGAGAAAAGAAATGCATATAACATATTAAGGAAAGACAAAAACCTCAAGTCCTTGATGCATTCCTGTCTCTCGTGTCTAATAGTGTGGGCTATGCTCTGGTTGTTTATTTAAAAAGTGAAATATAGTTTTTGTTCAAGTTCATCAATAATACTTCTTTTAGATTCAGTCTCACCAGCACTTAGTAGGAACCTAGAAATAAGTTCTATTATGTAAACTTTCTGTATCTTAAGATAGATACAGATGTTTCTATATATATCAAGAATACAATTCCGGATGAGAATAAAAAACAATGAATTTTTCTGGCGGTCAGGGAACGGGTAAGGTTAGGTGTAGAAAGATTTTGCTGAGAAGGCTATACACCGCCCCCGCCCCCTGCATCCTCTCACCTCCCCCCCAGCTCAGAGCCAAGCCAGGCCTCTACTTAACCTGCTCCCCAACCCGGCCCCGCCCCATAGCCACGCTCCAGCCACGCCCCCCGCGCTCCAGCCACGCCCCGTGGCCACGCCCCCGTGCTCCGACCCCGCCCAGTATCTACGCCCCGTCCCGCCCCGTATCCACGCCGGGCCACGCCCCCGCGCTCCGGCCCCGCCCCGTATCCACGCCCGGCCCGGCATCCCCACGCAGCCCCGGAGCCCGGCAGCTTCGTGCAGCATCTGCCTTCCGGGAGCGTCCGGCGCCTGAACCCTCAGGTCGGGGTGGTCGCAGCGGCCGGAGCGGCTCGGCGAGGAAAGATGGCTGCCCTGACGACGGTGGTGGTGGCGGCGGCGGCCACGGCGGTGGCCGGGGCTGTGGCGGGGGCGGGCGCGGCCGCGGGGAGCGGCGTGGGAGCAGCGCAGGTGCCGCCACAGGTAAGGACGGAGGCCGGAGCCTCTGGCGGCGGCCGGGGGCCCGCGGGGTCCGAACAGGTGTCCGCCGCGCGGCCGGGAGGTGTCCGTCCCCCCGCTCTGGAGGCCTGGCACCGCCCGGTGCAGCGCTTTGTTCGCCTGTGCGTTTAACGGCTTTTTCCTGAGACCCATCCTCCCCGCGACTCGGGATCTTCCCTGAAAACCTGCAGCCGGCGGCGTGCACCTGCCCCAGCTGCGGCCATGGAGTCCCCGGTGCGAGGCTTGGGGGAGAGGCTGTGTGCCGAGGAATTGCTCCGTGGCTGCTCCGTTATGGGGCCTGACAGGGAGGGTCCCAGGCAGATGTGTTTCCTGAGATCATTTGGGACCCCCTTCTTCACAATGCAAACCAGAGGGCCCCTCCAGGAGAACTGCTGCTTCCTGGAGCTCGGGTCAAAGGTGTTGGCTCCGATTCTCACCCCAGTCCTGTCTGCTCCACCTTCAGGGTAAACCCAGAGTCCCCCTCTTCTCACCGCTTCCCTGGTGCACACCATCATCTCTTCCTGCCTGAAATACTCCCCCAAGGGGTTTAAAGTGTTCTCCACAGCAGGGTGGTTCGGTCCAGTAAGGACCCGATTCTGCCCAGGAGACTCGGAGAGCGTCTGGATCTCATTCACGATAAAAGCCAGCATCCTCACCCCGCCGATGAGCTGCCCGCCCTCGCCCACCTCCTGCCCCTGCACCGCCAGTGCCTGCTGCAGCCATTCTGGCTCCCTGGCCTTCACTCAGACATGCCAGTGAGCACTCTCCTGCCTCAGGGCTTTCAAATTGCTCTTTCCTCTGCTCTTCCCCACACCTAGCGCTGTCACCGCCTTCAGATGCCTTTGTGCAAAACGCCATCAGCTCAATGGTTCTTTCTATCCCTTCCCCAAACTGAATTCCCTTATCCAGTGCAGCCCCGACCCTTTTTCTGGTTTTCTTTTTCTTCATAGCACTTATTACCATGATATGTTGCATATTTTATACCTATTTTTAAAATGTCTTTCTCCTTATACCATCCACCCTTAGGAATGTAAACTCTGTAAGGGCAGGAGTTTTATTCACTATTGTGTTCCCAACATCAAGAACTGTGCCTGTTTACGGTAGTCCTGGAGCGTAGCACGTGCTCACTAAATCTTTGTGAAGGAAGGTTGTTGTGAGCTGAGGACATGTTCCATCTTTTTCTTCCTGAGGGATGGGAGATGTCCATCCCACAGCTATATAAGGCCGGAGAAATCATTTGCTCTGGCCCTGCCAAGGCATTAAGGGTGAGTTAGTTAAATGCTTGGCCAAATATAGCAGGATATTTTTTAAGCTGGTAATTTTGTATGGCCTGTGAGTGATGTTACAAATATCCAAATGGCCCTTAGTAGAAAAAAAGTTTCCCACCCAAGTTCTAGGGAAATACAGTGTCTTATATAAATTCAAGAAATTCCACTTCAAACAAATTTTCTCACACCTTTATAATTCTCTTTATTATTCTAACTCTGGCCCAAATGACTCAAAAAATATATATTGAATAAAATATATAAAGATTCATAATCCTATATAATAAAAAGCTAATATGCAAATCAACCAAACTGGGAAACAATCAGTCACTATGATGTGCACTGACCACCAGAGGGCAGATGCTCATTGCAGGAACTGCCCCTTGGTGGTCAGGGTGCTCCCACAGGGTGAGCGCCACTCAGCCAGAAGCTGAGCTCATAGCTGGGGAGTGCAGCAGCAGTGGCCGGAGCTGCTCCTGCTTCTGCAGGAGCGCTAAGGATGTCCGACTGACAGCTCTCAACTGCGAGAGGGCACAGGCCAGGCTGAGGGACTCTCCCCCCACCTTCTCTCCCCCCCCCCCCCCCCCCCCCGACCCCATGCACAAATTTCATGTGCTGGGCCTGTAGAATAAATAAATATATATATATATTTTTTTTATTTAAGAAAATAATTTTTTTTTTTAATGTATGACCTTATGGTTTAGCCATCTTGCTGGCTTTCTTCATGAAACTTTTTTGTCTTACTTTGGTTCAAAGAGATTACTTTCCTAAATTCTTACAAATATGTTTTACCTCCTGATTTGCTGTCTCAAGTTGCTTAATATTATTATCAATGTACACTTTTATCACTTCACTACAGTAATTCTCAGAGGTTTGCCTTCCAGGGTGATCAAAATCATCATGGAGCTGTATCAAATGTTGTATCGGTCCTCAACATTTTGCAGTGTCTGAAGACATTTTTGGTTGTCACAGCTGTGGGGGGAGAGGGGGAGGTTGGTGTTTATTAGCATCTAGTGAGTAGAAGCCAAAGAATAGCCCTTCTCAGCAAAAAAATAATAGTGCTGAGGTTGAGACACCCTGCTTTATATCCTCTCACCGTTTTAGGGGATGAGAGCCTCACAGTTGACAATTAGCAACGGTGATGGAGTAGAACTCCTCAAGGGTGTTTCGGTTTTAAAAAAGAAATTGGAATCTCTGCTATACTACATTATGATTTGTGAGGAGTGTATGTGTTAATCCATTTTTGTACTCCCCTCCCCCATACACACAATGATATGCTCAAATTCCATAGCCTAACACTGAACTTGAATATTGTCATACTATTTATTACATGAATGAATACTCCTATGGACTCTAACACTGAGACCAACTAATAATTTTCTGATGACAACCTCATGATATTAGAGGTATGCGCCAAAATATCTAAAGTTTCTGTTTTAGTCTTTTAGGGCTCCATAACAAAATAACTCAGATTGGGTGGTTTAAAGAACAAAAACAAAAACAAAACAAAAAAATTAAGATTTACCTTACACTTGTTTAGAATGGCTATTATCAAAAAGACAAGAAGCAACAAGTGTTGGTAAGGATGTGGAAAAAAGGAACCCTTGTGTACTGTTGATGGAAGTTGGTGCAGCTCTATGGAAAATAATACATAGGTTCCTCAAAAAATTAAAAACAGAACTATATGATCCAATAATTGTACTTCTAGGCATTTATCTGAAGGAAACAAAAACATTAACTTGAATAGATGTATGCACCCCATGTTCATTGTAACTTTATTTACAGTAGCCATCAATGGATGAATGGATAAAATTATCCCCTGAGAAACTCCATCATTGACATTTCATCTCTGAAAAAAAATTCCACCTTAATCTTTTACCATTTTTATTATTAAGGATAAACTTTTTTTTTTTTTTTAATGCAGAATGATGGCTGTTTTGGTACTTCAGGTGGAATTCGTTCTTTTCAGCTTCACAACTGGAAACAGAAAGTTAGTCAGCCTAAGAAAGCAGAATTCATACGCACAGCAGAAAAATTTAAAAATTTGTAAGTATAAAGACACTGTCTCCAAATAACATTACTAGCCATTTTATTATAAATAATGTATAAAATTAATTCTACTACTCCCTGTCCAATCTCCACAGTAAGTACAAAATTCTGGTCATTAGTGTGTTCAATAGACAAATGATAAAAGACTATTTAATATAATTTTAAATGCAGTTATTTGAATTTTATTTATTTTTACCATTTGAACCAATGTCTTTCAAAGGAAACAATATAGTTATTTCTTTAGATCTCATATATCAAATAACAGATTGAATATATTTCACTTACCAAGGTTAACATTTGGTAAATATTTTTGAGTGAGTGAACAATTTTAATGAAAAGTCTCTACCTCAAGTTATTTTTTGAAATGTCCTTTTATTTGGTCTCCCTCTTATGGTCTCTGCCCTTTTCAGATCAATCCTGCATGTAATGATTAGGCTGAGAATTTTTAATTTGTGGTGTATTTGTATTTTTTCTTTGAATAACTAGTGATATGTACAGGGTGTCTACCCCCCAACTCCCTGTTAAGTGTATACACACTTTGAGTAATTATTAATTCCAATGAGTTAAATCTGAAGAGAAAGAAACATTAATTGAGGTGTCAAAAATATATGTGTATACATTTTTATGGGACGCCCTATATTGAATGTTCAGTGTAATGATATATATATCATGAGGAATGATAAAAGAATTAGAACTCAGAGCAGTCAACCCTACCCTACAATTGAGAAGTTTGTTAAAACACTTCTTTGAAATTATAAAGTATCCATTTATAATTTATCAATCCACAGAAATTATAAAGTATCAATTTATCAATTTATCAACCCACAGAAAAGGAGATTTGTTAAAAAAAAAAAAAAAAAAATGCTCTCTGGACCAGAATTAGTGGCAGTTATCTGTTTAGAAATTCTACCAATAAAAAAAGTAATACTGTTTGAAATTTGGAAAGTTGTACTATATATACTATAGCTTTGGGAGATTGAATTCTCAACTGCACTTATGTAATACTCATATATTACTTTTAATACTCAGAATTTGAGAAAATACAGTTTTATTTTCTTTGATTTCTAAAATGTATTACCTTGGATAATGTTAGACTCTTGGTTAGGGGTTCTGGTATATGTTTCTCTCTAGACTAGTAATCTACCAAGGAGTTAATATGGATATTATATATATATATATATATATAGCAAACCAGTAGATTATGCCAGTCTTGATACTTGTCTACCAGAATGTGCTGGTTTTACAGCTCTCAGTAGGCTTTCTTCATCTGTTAAAAGGTTTTGGAAAAACTCATTGGGAGAATGTTATAAAAATCCATTGGAAGAATATTTTTATCCAGCAATTCTCATTGCATATAAAGAAAAAAACAGCCAAGACCGATTTGGCTCAATGGATAGAGCGTCGGCTTGGGGACTGACGGGTCCCGGGTTCGATTCCAGTCAAGGGCATGTACCTTGGTTGTGGGCATATCCCCAGTAGGGGGTGTGCAAGAGGCAGCTGATTGATGACTCTCTCATCGATGTTTCTAGCTCTCTGTCTCTTTTCCTTCCTCTCTGTAGAAAATCAATAAAATATATTTTTAAAAAAAGAGAAAAAAACACAATTTGTAATATAACTTTTATTTTCAGAATAGATAAAACATTCACTGGTTTAAAAATCAATACATATCAAAGGGTACTCAGTGAAAAGTCTATTTTGCTGGTGACCCCAGCTACCCACTTCCCCTCCTCTCACACAGCCAATATTTTTAGTTTCTTGTATATTGTACCACATATATTTTATAATCTGTGCTTACAAGGAAATAAAAGTGCATATTCATAGTTTGTCTTTTTTATATAAATTTTAATATCTGTTCTGGACCTTTCATGTTGGTGTGCTTTTTTAAACTTAAGAGTATATCTTAGAATAGATACTAAGGGATTGTATCTTGTCAGGCATGATAGTAGCATTTTAGTGATGTAAGGCAAATATCCATAATCTCTAGAGATATACACTGAAGTATGTTGGGGTTAAATTAAAAATGAAATGGGCTTAATTTAGAATACTTAAGCTAAAAGTAAAAAGAAAGATAGATGAGCCAAGAGAGGAAGAAGAGGTAAAATTGTTGAATCAGAGTGATATGAGGGAAATAATATTATTTGAAAGTATACAATTTAGCATTTTCTACCTTTGGGTATGACTAACATTGTCATATAAATTCTTTGTTATAAAAAGTGTGTGTAGTAGAGATCTTTCCTTATCAGTACATGGAACACAGTGCCACTGCATTGTATTCCAGGTTAAATAAATTATAATACTATTTTGACTCCTTAGCCTTATTATTCAAGTCATTATATTTTGACTCCTTAGATGAGTGAATCCAAATATAAAGTTCTGATTATTATAAGTGTCTTCATATTTTAAACAATTAAAATATATTTAAGTTATATTTATACCATTTATTTCTTTTTCTAAAGAGTTATTAACATAGAAAAAGATAAACACAGTCATTTCTACAACCAAAAAAGTGACTTCAGAATCGAGCATAGTATGCTGGAAGAATTGGAAAACAAATTGATTAACAACAGGAAAACAGAAAGTAAGTTGAGTTCATGATGAACAAAAACTGTTGAGTGACATAAAGTTGTAGTTTTGCCCTATGCTTTATATCTGTGCATTGACTTATGTTTTCTATCAAGACATTTTCTCGTTAGTAATGTGTTTGTCTTTTATGGATATGTATTTATTTCGTCAGGTTACTAGTTAGTGATTCTAGCTGGATTGTTTTCTGTGTGTATTTATCTCAATTTAATAGGAAAAAGAGGGTTTTGTTTTTTGGTTGACAAACTAGATAATGTTATTAAAATTTCTTACATAGAAATTAATTCCTGGGCTATCTGGTCTTAGCTCATCATAATAGTAAGAAGTGATCAGGTCACATAATCCTGTAAACTTGAGTTTACTTGTCTGTAATACAACACCTACCATTTCTACCTCAGGGCATTTGTTCTGTACATCCCATGAGATAATATATGAAAAGGTGCCTTATAGATTACACAGAAAATGTTATATTATTTGCTATGAATATCAATCATTGTTTATACTGTACTAAATGTTGGTCTTAATTCTACAAGAATACCTTCTTTCATTGAAGAGTAGATTTTATATGTTGAAAAATTCTAGGTTATAATAATAAAAAATTGCATAGCATTGTTTAAAGAAAAAATAATGGTTATCAACTAACTAAGCTTTATAAAATATTGACTTATAAATCCCTTATAGCCAATTAAAAGAAATTCTTAATAATTTTTTCCTTTTAGAACAAAAGATTGCACTATTTTAAAAATCATCTTTTGTTGGATACTGGCAAGAATCATTCTCCCTCTTCTGTTTGAGTGATAACAGGACCTAATATATTGTAAAATTTTCAGTTCTCCTCTTTGCTTCATAGAGAAATCTAAAGATCCCTAGTTTAATATTTCTTAAATACCCTCATTCTTTTTTTTTTTTTTTTTTTTTTTTTTTATTGATTTTGTACAGAGGGGAAGGGAGAGAGATAGAGAGTCATCGACCAGCTGCCTCTTGCACACCCCCTACTGGGGATATGCCCGCAACCAAGGTACATGCCCTTGACTGGAATCGAACCCGGGACCCTTCAGTCCCCAAGCCGACGCTCTATCCATTGAGCCAAACCGGTCTTGGCCCCTCATTCTTTTATAGACACGGAGAAGCTGATCCTTAAATCTCTCAGTTGTGCCACTAGCTATAGTGTCTCTATTCTCTGCATTTCCTCTTTTTGAGGCAACTTTATTTTTATCTTTTTATTCTTTTCTGCTACACTTTTGCCTCTCTTTATGAACACTTTGTGTTTATCTTATCAAGGAGAGAAAGGAATGCACTTAATATAAAGATATAGAGGCTTTCCCTCCCCATTAGAGCCCAGAAGAAGTGAATTTCTTTTCCTTACCTCAAACATCATGCCATAATTTTAGCGTGCATTTATGTATTTAAATGGTTTGCCTATTAGAGTGGCAGTTCCAAATGAAGAAATAAAAGATTACTTGCCCTATAGAGATGTCTCTATAATTGATCAAACTATGGCCCAGAAAAAAAACACTCTCCTAATTGCTTGCATTACTAGGGAAGTTTTTTGATTTTAAGTTCCAACAGTGAATAAGACTCTTTAAAAATACAATGGATAAAGTTTCTTCTCTTTGGAACACTTGAATTTTTATTCAGAAATAACTAGCCAAAGCCACACGCACATATTTGAGGTTTGTTTTGGATATTAGCATTGGCTCCAGGCTTACCGGTAACCTTTCTAAAAAAATAAAAAATTATTTTAAAGACTTGGACATAGCTGTTTGGTTTTTCATGCTCATTTGTGAAACATTAAAAAAAATGGAGGGGCATAATAAAGTACCCAAAGATGATAAAATAATATTACTGTTATATATATCATATATATCTCACAAATATAAATGTACGAATGTAAATATATGATTTTAGCCTATATAATTGAAATAAATACTAAAGTAAGATTATTACTTCAGAAAGAAATTTCAAAAGAGGAATCTAGGATTTCTGCTGCTGATACAGAACAGCTGAAAATGTCTTTGAGATCCTCCTCCATTTTACAGGCTTTTATTGCGGGCCCAACATTTTCAGGCTGATCCTTTGGATGAGCTTGGCAGCCTATAGTGTATATATCACTGAATGGCACCTGAAAGCACTTTGTCAAGGCTGTGACAGTCAGTCACACAAGGATGTGGTTAGATGAAATTAATTCTTATTAGGAAGTTTGTCAGTATTCATAGAATTAATATTCAGTTTTAATATTCTAAAAATAGAGTTGAGATCTAGCCCAAATTCTATTCCCATACAATTATAACAAATTAAAAAAAGAAAACTCTGTGGAAGAATAAAATATGATTAAGCCTAAGCTATTGATCCATGTATTTAAAAGACTGTCCAATAACTCAATCTCCTCAGAGTAAAAAAACAGACATTTCCTTGGCACAGATTACAATAAGATTTATCCCGCTGTGCTTTTAAATACTGGAGGAAATTGAGAGATACTTTATTTAGATCAAGGGTACTTATTAAAAGGTTCAGGCTGTATTGATACTTAAGTAACCATCTTTTGTTCATTATTTAATTTCTCTTGGCTATCTTTTACCAAATGAAAATGAGCTGTAACCATGTTTGTCATAGAATTATTTTAAAGTACATACTTCTCCCTTATAGGATCAAAAATCCAGCAACAATTGGCCAAAATACATAATAATGTAAAGAAACTTCAGCATCAGTTAAAAGATGTGAAGCCTACACCTAGTTGTAAGTACATTTAGATTTTATATTCTTATATATTAGTGTGTTTTTATTGTTCAGTAGAAACATTTATACTTTTCTAATAGGAATTTTCCTCTTTAGCATTAATGGAACTAAGACCTACTTTATTGGTTAGGGATTGATAAGAATACATTAGAGAATTGTATTACCTGACTTTACATAGCTTTTCATCTTTAAAATGCTATAAATCCTGCCCAAGCTCAGTTGGTTGGAGCATTGTCCTGTACACCAAAAGGTTGCAGGTTCGATTCCCAGTTCGAGCACATACCCAGGTTGCATATACAGTCGATGAAAAGGAAAAAAGACTGATTTCCTCATGTTTACATAAGTAGACAGGAAAGGATACAATTTTATTTTTTTACAAACGACTAGTGTTTGTCCAAATATTATTTAACCATTTCTTTAGGCATTTAGAATGCATCTTAAAAGGCAATTATTTCAAAAACCAATTGATGGGAAAACCACTAGGCTAAAAATCAGGAAATCAGTCTTTTTTCCTCTTCAATAATCTTATCTAATAAAAGAGTAATATGCAAATTGACCACACCTCTGCTACACCCACAAGCCACGCTCACCAGCCACTCCCACCAGCCAATCAGAGTGAGTATGCAAATTAACCCCAACCAAGATGGCTGCAGCCACAGAGAGCAGGAGGGAGGCTTGGGTTTCCTAGGCAATGGGAGAAGCCAAGCTTTCCGCCTGCCCTTGCTGGCCTAGACCTCCACTCAAGGCTACAAAGTTTCAATTATAGAAGGTAAACAAATCCAAACAGAAATGGCAGCAGCCATAGTGTAAGCAGAAGGCTTGGCTCTGCTCCAGGCTACAAAGTTTCAACTGTAAAGGTAAATAAATTCCAGATACCAGGGCCTCTGCTTGGGACGCTTGGCTGGCCTGCAAACCACCACAGGCCCCTCGCCCAGGCCACCTCACACCCCAGGGGAACCCCCACCTTGATCTAGGACACCCTTCAGGGCAGCTGGCCCCCATCTGTGCACCAGGTCTCTATCCTATCTAATAAAAGTAATATGCAGATTTACCATCACTCCAACACACAAGATGGCTGCCCCAATGTGGTCAAAGATCCTGCCCCTATGTGGACACACAATGGCCACCACAAGATGGCCAGCAGGGGAGGGCAGTTGGGAGGGACCAGGCCTGTAAGGGAGGACAGTTGTGGGTGATCAGGCAAGCAAGGGAAGGCAGTTGGGAGGCACCAAGCCTGCAAGGGAGGGCAGTTGGGGGTGATCAACCCTGCAGGGGAGGGCAGTTAGGGGTGACCAGGCTGGCAGAGGAGGGAAGTTGTGGGCAAACAGGCTGGCAGGGGAGCAGTTAGACATCAATCATGCTAGCATGGGAGTGGTTAGGGGGTGATCAGGCTGGCAGGCAGAAGTGGTTAGGGGTAATCAGGAAGGCAGGCGGGCAAGCAGTTGGGAGCCAGCAGTCCTGGATTGTGAGAGAGATGTCTGACTGCTCGTTTAAGCCCGATCCCAGTGAACATCCCTCGAGGGGTCCCAGATTGGAGAAGGTGCAGGCTGGGCTGAGGGACACCACCGCCCTCCCCCCTCCCCCCTCCGTGCATGAATTTTATGCACTGGGTCTCTAGTGTGTGTGTGCATGTGCGTGGCCTGTGTGTGTGTGTGTGTGTGTATTTTATTGATTTTTTACAGAGAGAAGGGAGAGGGATAGAGTTAGAAACATGGATGAGAGAAAAACATCTATCAGCTGCCTCCTACATACTCCCTAGTGGGGATGTGCCCTCAACCAAGGTACATACCATTGACCGGAATCGAACCTGGGACCCTTCAGTCCACAGGCCAGCACTCTATCCACTGAGCCAAACCAGTTAGGGCTGCATATGAATCTTTCATTACCACTGATTTTCCATCCTATAAATGACCCTAATATCTGTTTTGCCCACTCCATAATTTATAAAAATTTATAGCATTTTAAAAAAACCCTCACCTGAAGATATGTTTCTATTGATTTTGAGAGAGAGACAAAGAGAGAGAGAGACAGAGAGAGAAACAACTATGTTAGAGAGAAACAGTAAAGTACTCAAGATGAATAGATTTTAAGAATCAAACAGATATTGAGTCAAATTCTTGATCTACCAGTTATGTGATTTTAGGCAAGTTCTTTGATTTTCCTGAGCTTTCATCTCTCAGCTCTAAAATGAAAATAACCACAGTACTTAACTCAGGGTTGTTCGGGGATGAAGTGACACAGTGTACATAAAGCACTTGTGCTGTGCTTAAAATTTAGGAAGCACTAAAAATGGCAAATATGAATATTATAGTTTGTTAAATTAATATAAAAAACCATAAAAATACTAGAAGAGAACATGGGCTAATATTTTAATAATTGTACTAAAGGTCCAATGCATGAAATTCATTTGGGGGTGGGGGGTTCCTCAGCCTGGCCTGTGACCCCTCGGGGAGTGTCCACCTGCCAGCTTAGAGAGTGGGCCTAAGCTGGCAGTCGGATATCCCTCTCACAGTCTGGGAGCCCTCACTCCTTACCACCGCCTGCTTGCTACTCCTTACTACTCACCTGGCTGCTCCTTAGCGCTACCATGGAGGCGGGAGAGGCTCCTGCGCTGCCGCTGTACTCACCAGCCATGAGCCCTGCTCTGGAACTAAGCCCTGTTTTATTGGTTAGGGGTTAAGAATACTTTAGAGAACCGTATTATCTGATGTTTACATAGCTTTTTATCTTTAAAATGCTATAAGTCCTGCCCACGCTCAGTTGGTTGGAGCATTGTTGGTTGGGAGCGCACACTGACAACCAGGGGGCAGCTCCTGTGTTGAGCATCTGCCCCCTGGTGGTCAGTGTACATCACATTGACTGTTTATTCTGCCTGTCTTTCTGCTGTTTGGTCGGTTTGCATATTAGGCTTTTATTATATAGGATTATAGTTTATAAGAATGACAAAGATCAGAAACCATAAAGAAAATAGTGGGCAAAACTGACTGCTTAAAAAAACGAAATACCAAGAAAAGCCCACAAACCTTTATATAAGCAAAGTTGAAAGACAGGAAAATATTAGTGATATATGTAACTTAAAAGGCTAATATGCAGAGTGTCCCCTCAGGAGTTCGACTGAGAGACCAGGAGTTTGATTGCTTGCTATGATGTGTGCTGACCACCAGGGGGGTGGTGTAGAACGAAGGAAGGCCCTAACTGATAGCTGGCAGTCAGGGAAGGGAAACCCTGGTTGGCAGCTGGAAAGTCCCAATTGGCCCTGGTCACCGGCCAGGTCTAGGGACCCTACCTGTGCACTAATTTTGTGCACTGGGCCTCTAGTAATATATGAAGAGTGCCTACAGATTAGAGTAACAAAGGTAAAGTACCTAATAGAAAAATCGGCAAAGATATTACTGTCCATTTTACAGTGAGAAAAATACAAAAGGAGAAAAAATGTCCGTTAAATCAGGAACAATTAATGTTTGCCTTTCATATTGGAAATGATTAAAAGTACCTGCCTGGGAAGGAGCACTCAGGATCCTTTAGGATAATAAATGTCTTTAAGTTAAGGGAACAGTCCATTTTTCCCTAATATTTAATTCTTAGTCACAATGAAATGATATAATTTTTCTGTTTTTTTTATAGTTGTTGAAAAGCTCAGAGAAATGATGGAAGAAATCGAAAATGCAATTAACACTTTTAAGGAGGAGCAGAGATTAATGTATGTTTTAAACATGTTTTAATATAAAATTATTGATATATATTCCCAATAACTCTCCACTAGGTGGTTATATATAAACCATTTTACTGTTATACCTAGTGGCCCGGTGCACAAAATTTGTGCTGGGGTCGTAGGGGAGAGGGGTGCTCCTCAGCCCGGCCTGTACCCTCTTTCAATCTGGGACCACTGGCTCCTAACTGCTCACCTGCCTGCCTGCTCACCCCTAACCACTCTGCCTGCCAGCCAGATAACCCTCAACTGTCCCCCCTGCTGCCTGCTTGTCCCTAACTGCCCCCCTCCACACCTGATTGCCCCTAACTGCCTCTGCCTCAGCCCCACCACCCTGGCTTTGTCCAGAAGGATGTCTGGAAGGTCTCCCGGTGTAATTAGCCTATTACCCTTTTAGTAGTATAGATATATAACACTAGTCTTACACAGAGGCAACAACACTTTTCTAATTTTGTTTTAGATTATAAATTGCTTTTCATGTTTAAAGTGAATCTTCATGTATATATGGACACTATAAAATCTTAGATAAGAATTTGAAAGACATTATTCTCTGAGGAAACTTAAGTCTTAGATTTATCAATGTTAATAGTGCTAAGTGGAGATGATGACACGAAAAGAGCAATAATTTAAATAAGAGGAAAAATAAAGGGTTAATATGGATTGATTTGTATCTTATTATTCAAACTTTATTTTTGAAATTTTAGATATGAAGAGCTTATTAAAGAAGAGAAAATAACTAATAATGAGTTGAGCGCCATCTCAAAGAAGATTGATACATGGGTTTTGGGTAGTTCAGAAACAGATAAAGCTTTCAGAGTGATGTCAAGCAAAGTTCCTGTAGACAAAGTAGCACCAACTACTCTTCCAGAGGAAGTGGTGGATTTTGAAAAATTCCTTCAGCAAACAGGAGGGCGACAAGGGGGCTGGGATGACTATGATCACCAGAACTTTGTAAAGGTGAGAAACAAACATAAAGGGAAGCCAACATTTATGGGAGAAGCCCTAGAACACCTTCCCGGAAGAACACAGGATGAAGTTGAACAGCATGAGAAATGGTATCAAAAGTTTCTGGCCCTAGAAGAAAGGAAAAAAGAGGTAATAATAATTATTATAGCTATTATTTGTTGTGTTTTTCTCTGTTCTAGCTACTGTGGTAAACTCTTTTAACATTTATTCATTTTACAACAACTCCATGAGGTATATTGCAGTTTTCACCCCATCTTACAGAAGGTGCAATGGGCCTTGGGAAGTTTTAAGTAACTTAACTAAAGGAACTATAGTTGGACTTTCTAAGGCCAAACATTTCTACCCCAAGAAATAATATAGTGGGCTAGAAAACTTCTGATTGTGGGCAAAACCCTCTATGTCCACCAGAAATGGTAAAGCCATGATTTGGTTCTAAATGGTCTGACTTCAGAGCCCATACTCTCAACCACATCACTCTTAATTCATCTTCTGATATTTGAACAAAGAAGGGTCACTCAGAAAGGATTTTAAGCCTTGAAAGAGGATTTTGGAAGCATAAGTAAGATGATCAGAGGAAAAGAATGAACACAAACAAATGAGGTGTAATCTTTGTGAACTGGGGGTTAAGAGAGGATAAGAAAGGCCAAAAGAATAAATCATTATTCAGTGTTTTAAGAGACATTAATTTTTAAAAACAAAAGTAGAAAAAACTGTACTGGTTAAAAAGGCAACAACAACAACACTTGGAAACCTAAGTATCCTAAAACTAATATTCTTTATAGAAAGATAGACTTGAGGTTGTATTTTAAAGTGCTTTTGGTTATTAATTTTTCCCTTACTATATTTTCTTCATCAGTCTATTCAGAATTGGAAAACTAAAAAGCTGCAAAAAAAGGAGGAAATTTTCAAGGAAAAGGCAGAGGACATGCCTATGCTTTTTCAAAGCAAACAAGAAGATAATCAAAAGCAAAAAGAGGAACAAAGAAAGAGGCAGAAATTGGCAGTGGAAGCTTGGAAAAAACAGAAAAGTATAGAAATGTCAATGAAATATGCTTCCCAGTTAAAAGAAGAGGAAGAGAAAGAGAAAAGGCAACAGAAAGAGCGCCAACGCCAGTTTAAACTAAAATTACTACTAGAAAACTACACCCAGCAGAAGAAAGAACAGGAAGAATTTTTAAGACTTGAAAAGGAGATAAGGGAAAAGGCAGAAAAGGCAGAAAAAAGGAAAACTGTTGCTGATGAAATTTCCAGATTTCAAGAAAGAGTAAATACGTTTTGAATAATTTTAGAAATTATTTAGTGGTGTTACTACAAATAGAGGTAATACTTCCAGATTCAGTTCAGGAAAAATTGAGTGCTTCTGTTATATTAGGCTTCTGCTTACCAATGCTCCCTCATTCCACCTCCCTGCCCCCGCCTCATTTCTTGTATATTATAGTCTAGTGGGAAAGATAGATGGGCAAGTATATTTCTGTATGATGTTGTAAATAGTGTCATGATTGAGGTGATTGTGGACAGAGAATTTTAGAAGATGGGTATGCAGGGAGGGTAGCTTATTATCATAGCTATTAGTATCAGAGAAACACTAGTGGTATTTGAGTCTTGAAGAAGAAAGGGGAGATCTTTCCTAGCAAAGGGAACAGCATGATTGACAGCTTGGAGAAGTCTAAAAGTGGTTTGTGGGGGAACCCACGAACACTTCAGTATCCTAAGGGCATCAGATGGAAGGTGGGAATCAGCAGGAACAAGGCTAGAAAGGTAGCCACAGGCTAGACTACTTTTTTTTTGCCAAACTGACTGGCTTTTCCCCACAGATGATTTCCTTACTTGTTTACGGTCCATCTCCCATCATAATAGAAGCTCTATAAGGGTAGAGATTTTGTCCTTTGTTTATTCCTGTACCCTGGACATTGTAGATATTCAATGTATATTTAAAGGAATCAAGGTTATTGCTGAGAGGTAGGATCATAAATGATTTAAAAACAAATATATATAAGAAAATGCAGTCAACGAGATTATAGTCTTATCAAAGTGGAATTCAGTCCTAAGAGTCTCAAAAAGACAAAGTATATATACCTTAAAACGAAAAAGAGTGCAAATGAGATAAAACAGCAATATCTATAAAGCAAAAATTAAGAAAAGTACAAAAAATTAGGCAAAAACACATTAGTGGAATTTTAGTCTCTATAAAAATATCTCCCCAAATAACAAAATGCCCCAAATATGAGATCTAAAACCAGACATATCTGTACTAAAAGTGGCCTTAACTCACCTATTAAAATAAGAAATAACCCAGCAGAAAATAATTCCAAAAATGTGCTTGTATCACACTTATTTTCAAGGAAAATAAAGCTTTTGCTCTTGTTGGGAAAGGTCATATTAAGGAATATTAATATTTAAAGTGATTTAATTTTACTTTCAAGCAGCTAAAGTTTGAAACAAATTTTAGTTGATTTTACTTTCTAATGTTATATTTTTGTTGGCATATGTTTCTTAGGATTTGCGTAAACTTGAACTGAAAATTCTTGATAGACAGTCAAAAGAAGATGAAAAGGCAGAAAAACAAAGAAGACTGGCAAAATTAAAAAAAAAGGTACTCTTTACTGAGATTATTTTTGTTATTCTAATTCTATGATTTGTAAGGATACAAACATCCGTTTTCTTTATATCCAGCTTGATTTCTGTATCATCTTCTTTAAAATGTACTTATTTAGCATAGCTTAGTACAATGTAAACTATTGTTTGAATTCTATCATTTCACATTATAAACACAGTGCTTAATCTCAATTGATGATACTAATAGCTAGAGATATAGGTGACTCTCAACAAAACAAAGAACTTTCTGGTGGATATTTATCCTAAATTTATTGCCTGGCTATGGCACTATTTGCTGCATCATATTTCCTTCATACTATAAACAGAATAAAATAATTGAACTAGAAAAAAGAAACTAAAGTAACAGTTTATTGATTGATATAGTCCCAACTTTTATTTTAGCTATATGAGCACAATAAAAAGTTTACAGAAAAGATTATTAACAGTTTTCAATATCAAGTATTTTTCTTAGTAAGGTTCACAAATACAATGTTAATATTTCAGATTCATTTTACTTCTGATTACAGGTTGAAAACAATGTTAACAGAGATCCTTCTAGGCTTTACAAACCTACCAAAGGCTGGGAAGAACGGACCAAAAACTTAGGACCAACAGGCTCTGGGCCACTTCTACATATCCCACATAGGTAAAAAGGAGTTAGAAGAAGTGTTAACTTTATTATAATTTAATAACTGCATGTTTCACTTGGCCAGCATGGCTTAGCGTTTGAGTACTGACCTATGAATCAGGAGGTCATGGTTTGATTCCCAGTCATAACTCTTGCCCGGGTTTCAGGCTCATCCCCCTGTATGGGGTGTGCAGGAGGCAGCCAATCAATGATTCTCTCTCAGCATTGATGTTTCTCTCTCTCTCCCCCTTCTCCCTTCCTCTCTGAAATCAATAAAAATATTTTTTAAAATAACCATGTTTAGCCAAAACCGGTTTGGCTCAGTGGATAGAGCGTCAGCCTGCAGACTGAAGGGTCCCAGGTTCAATTCTGGTCAAGGGCATGTACCTTGGTTGTGGACACATCCCCAGTGGGGGGGGGGGGGGGGGGTATGCAGGAGGCAGCCGATCGATGTTTCTAACTCTATCCCTCTCTCTTCCTCTCTGTAAAAAATCAATAAAATATATATTTAAAAAAATAACCATGTTTATATTTTGTGCAACTTTGATATGTTCATTATATTTTATAGTAAAAAGTGATAAAAATAAATCTACATATATTTTTTTAATTAATATTTAATTGGCATAACTCGAGTTGGCCCACCTCCACTTGGATGCATACTTTTCACTTGTTTCACCCTGGCGTCCACACCCTGGCCTCTTACTTTTTCTCTACCTGAATAAAACTTGCTTTATAAAAAAGTTCAAGTAAAAGAAATAGAGGTTAACATATAATCAGTGTTTTTATAAAATTTTTCCATGTATTTATAATTACTCTTCTTTTCTTCTCCTAGGGCTATTCCAACCTGGAGACAAGGACTTTAGAAAAGAATATGAGATAATGAAATTGGTATTCAGTTGATGGGAATGTTAGCATATTCAGCTTGAATAGGACAGAGTGATTCACAGCATGTTTTTTAAATATCACTAGCTAAGACAGACTGATTATGGTGTTGTATGTAAATTGACAGATGTTAAGCTCCAAGTAGTATTGTCATTAGTATTTCCTGTTTATACCAAGAGGGTATGTAATGTGTATGTTGGCCTATTATTATGTAAAAGTTTTTTTGAATAAGTTTGTGTTACAAATACTATTTCATTTAAATACCCACAACATTTCAAAGATACTTTCTTTTTGGCATGCCACAGCAAAATAAGTTGGGATAATCACGGAATGACATTTTCAAACCAAACTTTTGTAACATTTATATTTTGGAGGTAAGTTAGCTTGAGAAACAAAAATATAAAAAAATTTTTGGTTTGAATTATGAAATAAGTTAGTACTTTTTCTAAGGTTAACAAATTGGTAGTTTATTAGTTACTACATTTTTATGTAATAAATATTTTGTATTTGTTCGAAGCATGCTTTGTTTTATATATTTATATTAAAAATATGCCTCACAGTTCACACCTCATTTATACTCTATTATTTGTATTATTGATAAAATCTTTTTGGTTTTCTTTAGCTTTTCCAATTTTCCTTTTAGCCTTTTTGGACTTGACACATTTATAAAATCCTTATGTCTTTCATATCTTCTTGCCTGATTCAATTTTTGCTTCTGTTTGCCTCAAAACATTTGTTCAAAAGTTACTTTTAAAATTTACAAGCTTTGGTACATGAAAACACAATGTAACAATTAGTCTCAACTTTTCATATAAAATCTTAGTTCCTAACTTTAATTAGTTCTCAACAGCTTATAGAAAAGTTACCATCCTATCTAATAAAGAGGGAATATGCAAATTGACCATCACATCATCAAAAAGATTTCGGCACCCATAACCACAAGATGGCAGTGCCCAGTCCCCTCAACCCTGCGGGAGCCCCCCAGTCCTTCCAGCCCTGCTGGGGGAGGAAGGGGCAGGCACACAGTGCGGCTGGACCCGCCCTCTGCCCCCCAGCTGCCCAGGGCCAGCCCAAGGTGCAGGCAAGCCTTGGATGTTGGCTGTCCACCTATCCAGGGCCACCCAAGACTCAGGTAAGTAGGGCCGGCCAAAGCTTGCTGCTGGCTGTGGCAGTAGCAGAGGTGTGATGGGGCCAAGTCGCCTCCCACCCCTGAGGGCTCCAGGACTGTGAGAGAGGGCAGGCTGGGCTGAGGGCCCCCTCTCTCCAGTGCATGAATTTTCATGCACCAGGCCTCTAGTATACATAATAAACAAAGTTATTTCTTATGACTTTTAGATGTGACTTGATACATTTAGGTCAAATGACTCAAATTTACTAAGTAATAGTAGTCAAAACTTTTTTCTTATTTTACAATTATGACTCAAAGTAAATATAATTTCTAAAGGGAACTAAATTATTATTACACAGTTATTGTTGCAAAATAGGAGAATTAACATAAAACATCCTTAATCAGGAAAGCACATTTTATTTGTAGCACTCATTTTCCATGAATTTTAAAAATGATTTGAGGCTGTTTAGAATAAAATATAGAACAGGACAAGGGAATTTAAAAACAATTGAATAAGAAGATACAGAAAAGTAAAGGTTTTTATTTGCTACTTACTAACATGTTGCTTTTTTTCCCACACACAAAGGCAGCTTTCAATTTCCTGCATCTAAGGTAAGTATAGTGGGCAATGCTATATGGGTTTTTTTGTTTATTTTTATTTTGTCTTTTTAATAATAGAAAGTGTATGGAAGTTTCTTTGAACAACCAGTCCTTCTAACTGAATCTAAAGTGAATGAGGAATTTGTTAAATGGCTCTTTATACAGACTACGTAAAATAAACAACAGACATGTCTTCAGTTGCAAGCTCATAGAAGAGATGTCAAACACTTCTTAAACTAGTTTAAAAGTACGTTAATAAGAAATTTAGAGAGAGAAAAAAGCACACACAAATGTTATAAAGCACCAATTCAACCACCCCCGGGTAACTTTCCAAAAGTATACCTACATATTTCTAAATAGCTATAGTCATAGATTAAGTTAGTTACTATATTGTAAGCACTTTACATTACACATATTTTTCTCTTTCTACATAATTTAGACATTATCACTTAATGGCTAAATAAGTTTCAATTATAATGAGGATGCTCCATCCTCATACTTTGAAGACTTGAGCTATTTATACTTCTTTAATTTTCTAACAAAGCTATAAATTAAAATTATACCCAAACTTCTATTAGCTCAATTGATTATAAGACAAAACAAAACATAGCTAATAAAGTTGAGTGGCATTCTATGTGGGGGTTATATTCTGTCATGGATATGTCAGAAACCTTATATGATCAAAATCACTCATGAAAAGCCTTTTGTTTACCTAGAAGTATATAATATTACTTCTCACTGAGCCCATCCTAGAAATATTTCCTCCTGATTTGGATCAGATTGCTGAGAATCAGATGAAATATTTGGCTTCCTTTTAAGGGCCAGTTTGAAGAGGATTATCTTTCAGAGCATATATAGAGTATGCATAGTTGATTCTGGTAAGTTAAATGTATTTTATATGACTACACTTTGAACATCTTCAGATATTGTGTGTGTGTGTGTGTGTGTGTGTGTGTGTGTGTGTAATAATGTAGTGAAAACTCTCTAGATAGGGCATACCTGAAGGGCAAGGATTATGGACTCCATAATTGTAGAGAAGCACCAAGGACAGCCCTCTGCTTATACCCAGCCATTTGTTACTGCTGTATTTGCTGACATTCAGCAAATCTGTAAATAGTAGGCACTTTGGGTTGGTGAATAAGTATGAGATAACTCCAGCCCACATGATACACATTTTAAGAAATAAATTTTCTAACAAAGCTAATAAAAATTATACCCAAACTTCTATTAGCTCAATTGATTATAAAACAAAACAATCTAGTTTCAAGCCTGACCCTAGGGTGGGTTTCTTTTTCTTTCAGTATTTCATTATGAAATTTTAAAGAGAAATGCTGAAGCAACTTAAATCCCTTTTTTGGGGGGGGGGGCGGGGGGAGCATGTGATTTCACTTTTAGTATATGGGTAGTTGGAGAATAGATGGAGCTTACTTGCTGTTGCAAATTGATAAAACAGTGATGCTGAAGTCAAAACATTGATTCAAGCAGAGATTAAAACCTTAAAACTTGTAAAAGAAAAATGCAAGCAGTCATATGTGTGAGTATATGTTGTGCATGCATATTGCATTTAGATATATTTAAACGTGATTTCTGATATTCTCGAGAACTGGGAACGACTCAACTTTTGTAGTGTCAGTAATCACTTAAACATTTGTTTATATCCATAGATTGAACTGTAGGTTTAGTTAACATATCCATTCAGCTTAAAACTGTGGCCTCCCCCGCAAAATGAATCTGTTGGAAAATTTATACCGAGCCATTGCTGTTTTCATATATTCCATCCCCATGACCTTTGGGGCCTGATTTCCTCAAAGCACACTTGGACCTACTGACATTGCGCTTCAAAGTACTAGTTTGTGGGCCGCACTTTACAAGGCTTGCGAGGTGTTTCCGAAGCTTTGGGGTTTGGGCTAGGAAAGCTTGAGTGGTGCTCTACCTAGGAAGGAACCCGGCGATAAAACGCGGGGCCCGACTTCCCAGTGACTGTGTCTTCAGCAAACGCACCCGGTCCAGCTCCTCGGGATCCCTTCGCGCCGCCCGCCAACTGCTTCCGGGTCACGGCGGGCGTCGCTTCCGCAGCAGCATGGCGGCCGCGGAGGACGGGCAGCCGGCGGGGGACTGCGAAGGAGAGCGGCTGGATTTCCTGCGGGACCGGCACGTGCGGTTCTTCCAGCGCTGCCTCCAGGTTCTGCCGGAGCGCTATTCTTCGCTGGAGACCAGCAGGTAACTGGCGGCCACCGCCGGCAGGGCCGGCCCGGGGTCCGGGGTCCGGGGTCCGGGGTCCGAGCCCCGGCGGAACGGCTCCGGAGGGGCTGCGCCGCCGCCCACCTGGCCCTGCCCCGCGCCTCCTCTCCCCTCTCCGCTGGCCGGGGGTCACTCTCTTTCCCCCGAGCTACGGGGGAGGGTTTGGGGGAGCTGGACGTCCAGGGCTTTGGCAATCTCCAGTTTCCGCCCATTTTCACTTCCCGGCCATTCACCCCGTCAACTCTGAGCTTTTTCACTCCGTCCTCCCGGCCTCGTTACTTTTCGGGTATAAAAGGAAAAAGGAAAAGCGTTTGTCATTATATTTTAGGTAAACAGCATCTCCTGTGGTTCCCTTTCCTAATTCATTGGCTCTTTTTTTTTCTTCTTTTTTTTTCTTTTTTTTTTAACCGAGGTGGCATTGGTTAATGACATTCTACACATTTCAGGTGTTTAGGTTAGGATTATAATTCGATATCTGTAAATGCTGTTGGGTGTCCATCACGAAAAGTCTGTTTCCATCGTTTACCACGTATGGGACTCATTAACTCATAACTGAGTGACCGTCTTGTGTTTGGTGTACAGGAGCAGCAGAGAGCCTCTAAGGTGTGAATGGAAATTCACTTTCCAGGAACTGCGAATCCAATGACAGGAGGAGATTGGCGAAGGAGGTGCAGTGTTGCTTGAAGCAGCCTGGAGAAGCGTGTTTGCAATGAGAGTGTGATCTGGCAGAGGCTGAGAAACTCTGAATTAGTCATTCAGAGTAAAAGTCTGGGGATGAGAAGAACGGAAGGCGGAGGCAGTCTTTGCTCTCATCGCCGTTTTGAAGTGAGGCTCCAAAGCTGCCTGAGACTGGGTGGGAAGAGCAGGTTGTTTTGCTCTGGTCTCTCTCCACACTTTCTGAACTCTGAGTCTTTACTGTATTTTGAACACTGCCTGACTGGGTCAGTTTTGGAAGTTTTATAGATTACTTCTGCATACTGCTCAGGAAACATTTATGTTGGTTGCTGGAATACTGCTGACTAAGATAAACTAGCAGTTTATCAATAGAGTTCTGTGCAATCCGTGTAGGTAGGATTCATGGGAGCTAATTGAAAGGGCAGGTCCCCAATCCAGATTTCTTTAGAGATGCCTTCTCTAAACACCCTTTCCAAAAGGCACCACTTCCAATCACCACCCAAAATTATATATTTATTGGCTTATTTGCTTAATATATTTTTCATACTGGATTGTAAACTTCATGAAGGCAGGGTCTTTGTCTATCTTGTTTATTTCTTTAAAACTAGCGTTACCCTGTCCAGTATGGTGGTGGCCATTAGCCACATTTGACTATTTAAATTTGAATTAATTAAAATTAAATTAAATTTAAAATTCAATTCTGTTTACAGTAGCCACTGTAGTTCAAATGCACAGTCACCACATTGGCAATGGCTTTTGCTCCTATTCCAGTAGTTCTGTCATCTCAGAAAATCTTATTGGATAGCATTGTACTGGGACATTGAGCAGTTTTGGGCACATGAGAAGCATTAAATGTTTATTGAATAATGTGAGCTGAGCTCTGAAAGATGAACAGATTCTTGTTCAAAAAGAGTAAAGCGTTATTTATATTCCTTTCTCTATCCATCAGTATGGATTGACTAGCAGAGCCCATGCCTAGACTTAATTATATCACTTATATAATATCATTAACCAATGTTACTTCAATAAGTTTAATTTTTTTTATAAGAGTTCCAAAATTGTATGGTATAGGATGTTAAATACATATTTTTAAAAGTATATTTCTTTATTGATTTCAAAGAGGAAGGGAGAGGGAGAGACAGGAACATCAATGATGAGAGAGAATCATTGATCGGCTGCCTCCTAAACGCCCCCTACTGGGGATCAAACCCTCAACCTGGGCATGTGCCCCAGCCCGGAATTAAACCTGGGACCCTTCAGTCCACAGACTGCCGCTCTATCCACTAAACCAGTGTTTTTCAACCTTTTTTGGGCAAAGGCACACTTGTTTCATGAAAAAAATCACGAGGCACACCACCATTAGAAAATGTTAAAAAATTTAACTCTGTGCCTATATTGACTATATATAAAGTAATTCTCTTGAATAGGAATCAAATAAACACAAAGAAAGTATTTTATAATTACTTTATTATGAAATATTAAGTAAACAAAATAGTGAAAAATTATAAAATTCTTGTCTTGTCTGCACCTACGGCACACCAGGCAACATCTCGCGGCACACTAGTGTGCTGCGGAACAGCGGTTGAAAAATGCTGCACTAAACCAAACCTGCCAGGGCTTAAGAAATATTTTGATAAGCACATTTATGTCTTATTGGGATTAATTTTATGTGAATTCATAGCAATTGGATAAAAAAAAAATCTTCCATCCTATTTTGACTGTTGAACTTTGTAGCTATTATTATAGGTCTGTGGTTGATTTTTAAAATGAAGGTGCGTTTGATTGGTTTACCCTTTAAAATTTCAGCATGGACAAAACCACATAGACTAATGCATATTGACAGTAAATTGTGTAATCTTGGTCACAATATAAGTAAAACAGTAAAAAATGTTTAATACTGATTTAATAATTTAGAATCTACACCAGGCATTACATATTAGATAATAGATATATAATATCATGGTACATTACATTAGTTAAGAGATATTAATTATATATATTTATGCCTTGTGTTTGTCACTTGAGTAGAATTTTTAAAAATAATTTTTGGTTTATGATGCCTCAATTAATAATACATTTCAGATAATCTGTACAACCCTGGCAGGTGTGGCTCAGTTGATTGGGTGTCCCCGTGCACTGAAACGTTGCTGGTTTTAGGCAGCCGATGTTTCTCTCTCCCTCCCTTTCTCTAAAACTCAATAAAAATATATTTTTTTAAAACATAATCTGTACATATCAGTTTTTGTAGTGATTTTTAAAAAAAGTTTTCAGTTTTTCTGTTTCCTGATTTATAGTCTTAGTTTAGCATTAAGTCCTTTTGTGGTGTATGTGATTCATGTTGACTGTAAGATACCTGTGAAGCCCTGACTGGTTTGGCTCAGTGGATAGAGTGTTGGCCTGTGAACTGAAGGGTCCCAGGTTCGATTCCAGTCAAGGGCATGTACCTTGGTTTCGGGCACATCCCCAGTAGGGGGTGTGCAGGAGGCAGCTGATCGATGTTTCTCTCTAACCTTTTTTCTTCCTCTCTGTAAAAAATCAATAAAATATATATATATTTTTAAAAAGATACTTGTGAAGAAGCTCCAATCTTTTAAGCAAAGGTGATTGGTCACAAAATTTCTACTGATACTAGAGTTTTAAGATAAAACTGTGTGGTGACAAAGATGTTATTCTTATCCAGTATTGCAGTTCAATTCCACAGACATTTATTGAGTGCCTGTGTTTGCATAGGTATGGGTATATGGTAGTAAACCCATGATTCAGGTGTTCCTGTGTTCATTACTTTTTACTGATAGATATGAAATAGTTTACTCTAAAGAAGGCTAATATTGGACCTAGACATTTAGATTCTTATTTTCTGACCCACCATTTTGTCAGAATTGTTTCATTTCCCTGTTTCCTTTGGTCTAACATATAAGACTAAATAATTTTTACTTTTCCAATAACAATTGCTCTATGAAAATTCAAATGTATAGTGTTTGTTGTTTCACCTGAGGTTTTTCTTATATTAGCTTCTGAAAAGTACAATAGTTACTAGTCAACTCAAATGGATATTAAATCTTGGATTGTGAGCTTTGTTCTTAAGCTTGTAAATTTTGAGATCTTTTGGAGACATCATTTATGCTCCACTGGTTAAGCGATTTAATGTAATGACAAAAAAATGCTACTTTTTCATTCATGTAAGATATACCTTTTATATGTATTGTTCAGTGTAGAAGAGGCAGAAAGACTTGGCTTGTTTTGGTTTTTCAGACTACATACTCAGTTCAATTTTAGGGGAAAGAATGAATAGAGAAAAGTCCTCCAGAGAAATAATAAAATAAAAATAACCTCATTGGCCCGATTTTAGGTACTCACATGACAAGATTACCTCTCTGTATACCTGCAACAAGGCAAGTTGCACAGCAATCTAGTATATTCCAAGTAGCAGTCATCTGGTCAACATAAAATCCTGCATTATTTCTCCCAGAGGCCCACAGCCTAAAATTCCTTTCTATTTCCTGTGGCCTGTTTAATTTTCTTCCTCAGAGTTTTAGGACTACTTGAGAACTCTGGCATGGTCAGAAAAGGAATACTTTCCTAATCTATCTTCGGGCAAGGCCCAGATGACTTCTTGGTCCTGTCTGCCAGCCACTGCTGAGCACTTCATTTTACAAACATAAGCTTTGCTCTGTAGCTGTTAATTTTATAAACCATAGTCTCAACTGCTATGAATTGAAAATGCTGGACATTTAGAAGCCTTTAATGATTAAGTATGCAAAATTTTAAAATAGGGTAGCACCGGATGACTGATTTCTGGTATTTGTCTTCATATCTGGGAGCAAGTAAAATGAAAAACAGATCATTCAGGTAACACTTATAAACAGATAACAGTATGACTTTAAATCAGGGTTTCTCAACCTCAGCATGTTGACTTTTTTGACCAAATACTTACTTACTTACTTACTTATTTTTAATCCTCATGTGAGGACATGCTCATTGATTTTTAAAGAGAGGGGAAAGGGAAGGAGAGGGGAGGGGAGACAGACAGACAGACATGGGTGTGAAAGAGAAATATTCCTAAAGGTGCCTGACTGAGGACTAGGGACCAAACCTGCAATCTAGGTTTGTGCTCTGATCAGGAATGGATCCCGAGGCCCAAGACCTTTCAGTGTACTGTATGACACTCCTATCAAACTGAGCCACACCAGCCAGGGCTCCACCAGCCGCCTTTTTCTTTTTCTTTTTTCTTTTTAATTTTAAGAAATAGTTCTATATTTATTGACTTCAGAAAGGAAGGCAGAGATAAAAGCAACAATGATGAGAGAGAGTCCTTGACTGGCTGCCTCTTGCACACCCCTCAGTGGGGTTTGAGCCGGCAACTCGTGAATGTACCCTGACCTGGAATTGACTCATGACCATCTGGTTCATAGGTCAAAGCTCAATGACTGAGGCGTGCCAGGCGGGCAATTTTATTAATTTTTGAAGAGAGAAGGGTGAGGGAGAAAAACACAATGCAAGAGTGCAACATAGAACACCTATTTCCTGCACACCCTATTCTGGGAAGCTAGCCCACAACCCAGGGACACGCCAAGCAATTCGACTGGCAACCCTTCTGTACATGGGACCACACCCAAACAACTGAACCACAACATCCATGGTGGTGTATTCACTTTAGACCACAATGTGCTAATCTTTGTAAATTTAAACATTCAAATACTCAGTGAGTCAGATTATGCACTCACTTTTTGACAAAAGTAAATAAAACCTATCTATATAAAAATTATACAGGAATGTTGACACCAACTTTATTAGAAATAACCAAATATTTATAAAAATGGATAAGCTATTGGTGATATATTCAAAGGTAAGAATATTAGGAAAAACAGATGAGTTACTAATATATCTTTAATGAAACTCCAAGTATTTATGAAACACCAGATATTTCTTTATTTAATGAGGTTGACCAGTAAACCATATGACATTTAGCAGAATCCTTGGCCTTTACCTACCGGATGCCAGTAGCATCTCCCCTATTTGTGAGAACCAAAAATCTTCGGAATGTCCCCTGGGGGGTAATATTGCTGCCAGTGGAGAACCTCAGCTATTGGGAAGCCTGGCTGCACATTAGACTCCCCTGGGAAGGTGTTTTGTTTTGTTTTAAATACCAAGTTCCCAATTTTCTCCCAGAATTTCCTTTTTTTTTTTTAATTAATATATTTTATTGATTTTTCAGAGAGGAAGAGAGAGGGATAGAGAGTTAGAAACATCGATGAGAATCATCGATCAGCTGCCTCTTGCACACCCCCTACTGGGGATGCGCCCGCAACCAAGGCACATGCCCTTGACCGCAATCGAACCTGGGACCTTTCAGTCTTCAGGCCGACACTCTATCTACTGAGCCAAACCGGTCCCGGCTCTCCCAGATTTCTAATTTTACTGTCATAGAGTAGGGCCCAGGCCTCTCTAGGTTTGTTTGTGGTGTTTTCGTTGCTTGTTTTTAAACTGATAGTAATATACAGACAGATTTGAGAAACACCCCCGTGGAGGACACCACACTGTCGTCAGTTTTAATCGGTTATATAGCATTGAAATCTTAAGCAAGTTACTTTAATTCTTTGAACTTCATTATCTTGTGCTAGAAATTTTAAGAGATAGACTGTATTATTTCTCAGTTTCTTAACTGAGTAAAGAATACCAGCATATTTTAATAGCTCTTTCGATATGTTTTCTTCGTATGTAATTTTTACTAATTGGGAGATATTTATTCAGTCTCAACAGGTTATCAACAATCTCATGTTGTTCTCCATTTTTATTTCTGTCTTTTGCTTTTTTCTATAATAATGCTTTAATAAGCTAAATTATTAGATGCTTAATTTTATCTGATTGTGATCATTTACTTTCTGGATTGTAGTAAAACTGAAAACCTTGTAAGAGCTCTCCAGGAGGGCTAGAAGTAGTATTGCAGGTCTTTCATTTGTTAGTTAATTCAATAGATATTTGAGTTCATATCAGGAATGAGGCAGAACTTACCTCATGAAATATACTTATTACCAAGAGCAGTGATTTTCAAACTTGACTACTGCTAGGTAGAAGTTTTCCTTAAGTCCATAGTACCATTTTGTTTTAGAGAAGAGCTGTTCCCTTTGGGAGAAAGGTTGCCAACCCAAATCTGGAGAAAAGACCTATAACAGGAAACAGGAAAATGATTGTAGTCATTGATACTCCTATACCTTTGAAACAGAAAATACCAATAATAGTATCTTCCATTTATTGAGTGCTTGCTTATGGTAAGCACAGTAACTATGTGAGGTGTAACAATAATTTACAGATAAGGACTTAGAAAGATTTAGAAAAGGTTAGGTAACCTGCCCAGGTTATACATGGCTATAAATTGGCAAACCTAGAATTTGAAGCTACGAAATCTGAGCTATAAATTACAGCTTTCCATATGAAGGTGTTCCATTTCCCTCTAAATAGATTAAATATCCTGATCTTAACCAGATAAATCACCTTCCTAATTAAGGTGAATCTGAGTGGGTTGTTAGAATTAAATTCAGATAGTGTATGAGAAATTTCTAGCTCAGTGTCTAATATGCAATAATCTCAATAATGTAAGTTCCCCAAAATTTATTGTTCTTAAGTGTACCAATATCTTTTTAGTGTTAGTTTTTGCACTTAAGCTTTTATTGGGATTAAGTTCATCTTTGGTTTATCCCCCCCATTATATAATAGATGCCAGCTTTTTCAACCAAGGATCAGAGAGAACATTACAATCTAAAAAAAAAAGTGATTATTTTCTCGTTTCTTCTCAAGTTGGTAATACCATTCTAGATAATACCATTCTAGAGACATAGGAAAGAAGTATATATACAATAGGTTCCTTAGGCATTAAGGCTTAATTCTCTTTTAGAATCTCTGTTAACAAGGTTACAGAATGACTCAAGTGGCTCTGTTATAAGATTTTAGACCAGATAGATAATTTGGAGTACTAATTTATCCATATTAGTCATAGGAATTACTAGAATATGGGAATGGCCATACTCAATCAAACAGCATTGTAGAATGCATCTCAGCGTGAAAGGAATTATATATGACAAGCTCTTTATGTGAAAAGCAATCACTAAGATAGTGTTTTTATATGAAAGCATAAGGTTTAGGTTTCTGATTTTTTTTTTAAATATATTTTATTGATTTTTTACAGAGAGGAGGAGAGAGGGATAGAGAGCTAGAAACGTCGATGGGTGAGAAACATCGACCAGCTGCCCCCACCGGGGATGTGCCCGCAACCAATGCACATGCCCTTGATCGGAATCGAACCCGGGACCCTTCAGTCCGCAGACGGACGCTCCACCACTGAGCAAAACCGGTTTTGGCAGGTTTCTGATTTAGTACACAATCTTGGAATGAGTGCTGTCTTATAGTTTTTCATTCCATCAAAGAATGATCTCTTTTGGAGAATGAATTTGAAATGCATTTGTATTTTTTAAAGTGTTCTTTCCAAAATTCATTATAAGTTTTTTCTAAGAGGTCCCATTATTTGTAAACAAATTTGAATAAAAATTGACTTATTTTAATATTTTTTAAGATTTAAGCAGCAGCGATAAGCATACATAATTACTTTTGGCAAATTAGTGAAAATTGAGATTTTTTTATCTTTTTCCAGGCTTTTGACTTTATTTGTATTGAACAAGTGTGGGAAATTCTTTTTTTAAGTCTACTTTTAGCCTTCAGGTTACTAATATACTAGCTTCAATAAATTCAGATGAATGGGATTAGTTTTTAACCCCAAAATGTCTTTTTTTTAAATTGAAGCAAAGGTTTGATTGATATTACTAAATTATGAGAATATATTGAGTTTATTTTTACTTTTGCAAGATGGGAGTTTTGTTTAAATTATTGGAAAATTAGAATGAATTTATTATGTGTTTGAATCAGAAAGACTTCAGTGGTTCCCTAGTAAAGATGGAATCTTACATTTTTTTTCTTTTAGGTTGACAATTGCATTTTTTGCACTCTCTGGGCTGGATATGTTGGATTCCTTAGATGTGGTGAACAAAGATGAAATAATAGAGTGGATTTACTCCCTGCAGGTCCTTCCCACAGAAGACAGTGAGTGAGTTTTTAGCATTTTATTTTTAATGTGTCTAGTTGTACCTGGCATTACATGTGTTGTTGGATTAGCATATTGTCATATTTATTCATAAACTATTAATATATTTTATTCATCTATGTTTTTATTGTAATGCAACACTCTATTCTGTTCAAGTATAACACTTAACAAGTCTAATATTTACTCTTTTGGGGAATAATTTAAAGTTGTCTGGGGTTAATAGATTCCACATTCATGACTGTTTGTTGATTATTTGTATTTGATATTGGCAAAAATAATGCTGTCCATTATTTAATATTTTATAATTTTTGAAAGAATTGTCAAATACTTTATTAAATTTGATCTGCCTGTCCCAAAGTGGAAAATGAGAGGCGAGTGATTAACCAGTTAATTGCCACGATATTTTGAATTTAATTTTAAAAGGTCCACTGCTTTCGTCTATAGATGCTTATGGTGTACAAATGGTTGAGAGACCTGCCCAGAGGCCACATGCATCTTAAGTAGTAGAGCCAGCATGAAATCCAGGCTTCTGACTCAGAGTCCCAATGCTGCTTTGAATTGTATGTATAAATATATATTCCGCCATGTATGGCACTCAAGTACATTGTGAATAATTAATCAGAATTAACCCTGACCTTCCACTTAACTCCAGAGATGTAGTGGTATCCTAGTAATTTGTGTGTGGTCAGACCATTGGAGCCTTGGGACCCTTCTTGTTAACCTGTACAAGTATTTAGGAAACACAAGGGATCAGGCTGGGAATTGTGTGCTTTTTCTGATCAGGGGCACAACAAGAGAATTTTAAGCTAGTATAGAGCAAGGGATATTATAGTCAATCGTTTTACAAATGAGGATATTAAGCTCCAGAGAGATTAGTCATTTGTCCACAATGTATATAATGATTCTTTACCCAAGGAGTTAAGGCTAGAGACAAAATTACAATACAGTTTTCTGTTTTCTAGTCCTTTGTTATTTTTATTATTGATATATGTCCATTAATAGATCTCATAAAATATTATGATTAAGTGTTTGGGAATGTAGATAAGGTGGTTTAATATTAAAAGGTAAATTGCTTAATGATTTTTTTTTTTAGTACCCTGTTTCCCCAAAAATAAGACAGTGTCTTATATTAATTTTTTTCTCCCAAAATTGCACTAGGTCTTATTTTCAGGGGATGTCTTATCTTTCCATGCACTAGGTCTTATTTTCGGAGGATGTCTTATTTTCGGGGAAACACGTTAGGTTTTTCAGTCAGATTGTTGTCTTTTATTTTTTTTAATCCTCACCCAAGGATATTTTCCCATTGATTTTTTAAAGAGAATGGAAGGGCGGGTAAAGGCAAAGAGAGAGAAACATCGATGTGAGAAATACACTTCAGTTGATTGCCTTTCGGACGTAATTGAGCCTGCAACTGAGATATGTGCCCTAGACTGGAATCCAACATAGGACCCTTCAGTCTGAGGGCTGATGCTCTATCCACTGAGCCAAAATGGCCAGAACAGATTGTTGCCTTTTAAAAATAATATGCTTAAAATGTAAATATAATTTCCTGTGGCTAACTCGAGTATGTTGCAAGTTTAAAAAATTGTAGAGCACCTTTTTGGAAGCACTGTGATTAAGGGTTTGTTGCAAAGATCCCACAGAGGTTGGTTTATCGTCCCAATTGTCCCTAATCATAACGTCTGATGGGCCAAACCACAAATCTTCTCATGGTCCAACTGTAATTCTAAATTCTCAATTTACTATTTTGTGGATGAAACACTGTTAAATCTCTAATTTCTATGAAAGAAAGTATTTAATTGGTTTAGGTCCAATTCTAAAACTAATCTGTGAAATTTAGAAAATAGATATTTACAAGAACATTTTTAAGCTATTGAATATTACATTTGCCTTGTCCGTGTCTCTCTTGACATCCTGAAAAAGATTATATAAGGCAGTGGTTCTCAACCTTTTTAATGCCGCGACCCTTTAATACAGTTCCTCACGTTGTGGTGACCCCCAACCATAAAATTATTTTTTTTAATATATTTTATTGATTTTTTACAGAGAGGAAGAGAGAGGGACAGAGAGTTAGAAACATCAATGAGAGAGAATCATCGATCAGCTGCCTCCTGTATAGGAATCTCTTTCATGGCCCGCATGGAAAGAGTTTCAACTCAGGGTTCAGGTTCTGGAGAAGGGCCGCACACAAATGAAGAGACTTGAGACTTGAAGAAATTCAACTTGGTGATATGAGGGGCCAGGCGGTAGTCCAACTCTAGTGGGAGAACTACTACCTGCTCTGGCCCTGCCATCCCCTTTTATTAAGGGTTTGGGGAAAACGTAAACAGAAATTTACATGTAGCCATTAGGCAGGAAATAACAGAAGCTCTCACGGGACAAACAAGGTGGAGGCTGCTTCAGCTAACAATATCTCAACTAAAGGTTAGAGCAATTACTAAGGTTGTTGACTAGCCTTCCTGGCTTCCTGTCAACATCTCTTTTAGTTAAACTGATTTGTTTTCCAGCACTCCTGCACACCCCCTACTGGGGATGTGCCCGCAACCAAGGCACATGCTCCCGACCGGAATTGAACCTGGGACCTTTCAGTCCTCAGGCCAACGCTCTATCCACTGAGCCAAACCGGTTTCGGCCATAAAATTATTTTTGTTGCTACTTCATAACTGTAATTTTGCTACTGTTAATGAATCTTAATATAAATATCTGTGTTTACAGCAGCAATTCTCAACAGGTTGAGAACCGCTAGCAGGGTTGCCTAAGACCATCGGAAAATATAGATATTTACATTACAATTAACAGTAGAAAAATTACAGTTATGAAGTAGCAACAAAAATAATTTTATGGTTGGAGGTCACCACAACGTGAGGAGCTGTATTAAAGGGTCATGGCATTAGAAAGGTTGAGAATCACTGGTATAAGGTGTGTCCTTTTACTAGGAAACTTCATGTTTCTTAAGACCTATGAAGAATTATTTCTATAGTCATAAAATATGTGTCAAATTTTACATAAAAATTGCCATACTCTTCACTTGAATTCTCTTTGCTTAGTGCAAAAACCTAACTTTTAAAATAAGGATTAGAAAGTTAGAAAAATGTCCAAATCACTTTTGAATTATATTTAAGTGGCATGACCACCATTAATAGTATCATGGGATTGTTTTTTTCTTTTTTTATATGATTGTCCAGGCCCAATTCTCAGAGCTTTGATGTGGGCTTGGGTTTGGACCTAAGAAGCATCTATTTTTTTAAAACTATACAATTGATTCTTTTAGGCAGCCAGACAGACCTTTCATTTTGCTTTGCTACTACCAAAGAGGAACACTAGGTGGTGCCATTTAGTCTCCAAAAAATTTTAAACTATGCCCTATGCATTCAGTTGTAAATTTGGAATAAATGGGAAGTTTATACTTAACATTTTCTTAGTAACAAAAAAGGACCTAGTATCCTAACTTGCCATCATCCAGTGTCTATATTGTTTATTCTCTTCTGGGCTTTGCTGATAAATATCATTGGTTTGATTATAAGCATAATGCACATAGTTTTATATTTTCTCTTGGCATTATACATTTCTCCATGTTGCTACATAGTTATCCCTAATTATTACTTTAATAGGAGTATAGTATTCCTTTGAGTATTTACAGTCTGCTATCTTTGACCTGTCCAACAATCCCTGTGTGATGCACAGTAAGAATGGAGAACCACTGATTTGGTGATCCTACATTATGGTAGAACCATAAAGTCAAATTAGTTTATTTTGTTACATGGAATATATCATAAAAATCCAGATTACTTCAGAAAGTGAAATTGGGTAGATGGAAAGAAGCAGCAGCAAGAATGGAATGTGTACATGAATGTAATGTGTATATGTGAGCTTATGTGTGAGTATGTAGAGAGATGTGTTATTATAGATGTATTAATAGAGAATATAAGTGTCTAGCTATCGACTGTAAGGAAAAACAATCCCTGTATTTGTGTGCCTGCACCTGAAAGACAATTATGCTACAAAACCAGCTCCTGCCTGATGATTGGGAAAAACGTAAAGTTTTGCTATTAAACTCCATAATAAATGCCAACAGTACGTCAAGCATTGTAAAGACACTACATTTGGAGTCTTTAAAAAAAACAAAAAGTTATAAACCAGTAAAATGTAAAACTTTTGAGTGTATTTATTCTAAATTTTCCCCCTTATAATACTGCAGCAAGTGTTTCTGTGCACAAGATGTATCATTACTGGATTGAAGGAGGTGTGAGTATTTTATGGGTCCTTATATAATGGCAAGCCTTTCTTTGTTGTTTTTTGAACTGGTTTAGCATCTGTACAAAATTAAAGAATACTTCAAATAAGCCTAAGTTTTTATTTTCTAGGGTCAAATCTAAATCGCTGTGGTTTCCGAGGCTCTTCATACTTGGGTATTCCATTCAATCCATCAAAGGTCAGTTCTGTTTGGGGAGATTTTAGTGAGAAAGAATACTAAGCCAGGATACAGAAAGAACCAAGCTTCCCAGTTTCAATATGGCTGAAAACTATCTAATCCTAAATAATAGAAGGGCAAATTGACCCGAACAGTGGAACAACAAGAATGACCGCTCAACCAGTCACTATGAGGCATACTGACCACCTCTTTGTGCCTCCCCTTTTCCCCACCCCGGGCCGGCAGGCTTCCATCACCCGGTGGCAATTGGGGAACTGAGGGTGTGTGGCAAGGAACATGTGCGGTGCCAGGCCAAGGCCCCCACCCCACCAGTTGACCCACGAACAGAGGGCAACTCGTGGCAGGGGTGGGGCTGGCGACTGCTGACCTCTTGGTCTCTCCCCCCCAGCTGGCAGGCTCCAATCTGCCCCTGGCAAACGGGGAACTGGGAGTGGAAGGTAGGGGGCGGGCCGGCTGCTGGGGAAGATGGCCCTAGTCACAGGCCAGGCCTAGGGACTGTACCTGAACACGAATTTTGTGGGCTGGTCCTCTAGTCCTATATGATAAAAGGCTAATATGCAGATCGACTGAAAAGTGAAACAACCAGTCGCTATGACATGCACTGACCAACAGGGGGCAGATGCTCAATGCAGGAGCTGCTCCTGGTGGTTAGTGTGCTCCCACAGGAGAAACAGGCATAAGCCGTCAGTCAAGACATCCCCCGAGGGCTCCCAGACTACAAGAGGGTACTGGCCATGCTGAGGGACTCCCCTCCCCCAAGTGCACAAATTTCGTGCACTGGGCCTCTAGTAATGTATATTATGAACTGAACTCTTTTTCTTTTTAAAATATATTTTATTGAGCCCTAACCAGTTTGGCTCAGTGGATAGAGCATTGGCCTGTGGACTGAAGGGTCCCAGGTTTGATTCTGGTCAAGGGCATGTACCTTGGTTGTGAACACATCCCCAGTAGGGGGTGTGAAGGAGGCAGCTGATCGATGTTTCTCTCTCATCGATGTTTCTTACTCTCTATCCCTCTCCCTTCCTCTCTGTAAAAAATTAATAAAATTTATTTTTTTAAAATAAATATATTTTATTGATTTCAGAGAGGATGGGAGAGGGAGATAGAGATAGAGACATCAGTGATGAGAGAGAATCATTGATCTGCCTCCTGCACGTTCCACACTGTGGATCGAACCCACAACCCAGGCATGTGCCCTGGACCAGAATTGAACCTAGGACTTTTCAGTCCACAGGCTGACACTCTATCCATTAAGCAAACCAACGAGGGCATGAATTGAATTCTTTAAGGGAAAACTATGCCCACCGTATTTACTGGAAGAATGTACAATACATAAACACTGAGATTCCTGTTGTCAGAAAAATTTTGTGTCTCTTACTATTTTGTGTCTGTGTTAATTATTGATTCCCTGGAGAAAATGAAAATAAAGCACTCAAGTGCTGGATACTTGCTCATGAACTTGTATCTGTAGAGAATGATTTTATATTTAGTTCTCATTTTTTAGTAATAAAAGAAAAACTCTTACTAAGGCAGTAATTAAAGACCTAAGTTGTGATGAATTTGTTGACCTTTATGGCAATAGGCAAAATATCTTCAACATTATACCCATAGGCTTTGGTACCAGCACATGCAGGTGTAGAAAGCAGTGAGTCCTAACAAAGTGAGAAACTTTTTTTTCTTCAAAGAAGCAGAACCAGCACAAGCTTTATAGATGTTTCATCTGTGCACAAAATACCAATATTTTTCTACAGTAGGAAACATAGCAAACATAATTTTGTCAAAAGAGGTTTCACAAAATAGAAACTGTTTTCTTGTTTATATAACGATTACAAGCTAATATCTGGCTACACTGAGTATTCTAAGGTTTATAACCAGTTGCAATCTGAAGGTAAATGGCATGCTACTAGTTTTGCTATCATCTGCTTCAAAATTTTTTTGAGGAAATAGCAGTGATTTTGGAGAAGATGACATGATTTGATAAGAAACACTACTTCAACTTTTTTTCTCTGCATTTGGCCTTACACCAGCTTGCCTATGTCACAGTGATGAATTTGCCAAGGTGTCTCCAACCATGTGTGCCCATTGCTTTTAGCAGGGAATCTAAAAACAAAAGGATTCATAAACTGAACATATATAAAATTGATGTTTGCTTTTCTCAGTCAGATGTCTACACAACTTAGTATAGACAACATTTTAATTTTACCTGTTTACTGAAATTGTTTAATAAAATAAGTTTTTATTTCATTTTACTAATTAACATATTCATTTTTAATTCAGAATCCTGGAATAGCTCATCCTTATGACAGTGGCCACATAGCAATGACATACACTGGACTTTCATGCTTAGTTATTCTTGGAGACAATCTAAGCCGAGTAAATAAAGAAGCTTGCTTAGCAGGCTTGAGAGCTCTTCAGCTGGAAGATGGAAGGTATGGGTCATTCTTACCTTTTTTTTTTTTTTTTTTTTTAAGAAAAGTATTTTGAAACTAAAAATGAATGTAATACTATACTAGAACTTTATAGTTTATCACAAATTATTATTAGTCTGAACTTTTATTCCTTAAGACATAGTGATAGGAGGAGAAAGGGATAAGCATTGGATATTCTAGTGTAGGTAGTTTTCTTGACATTTTTAAAGGATAGGAAAAGAAGTTAATGAGTTCATTAATATTTGTTGGTTCGTGTGGTGTATCTAACTAAAGAAGAATTTTCCTAGAGTTTTATGGTGAAATTTTTTTAACCCCAGGAAGTGATAAAGCAGTGGCTATACTATCTAAAGAAAAGACTTTGCAAACAATTTCTTTTTTTTTTTTTTCCAGTGCAAAAGCTTATTAACATTTTTTTTTTTAATCTTTATTGTTCAGATTATTACAAATGTGATCCTCTTCCCCCCCTCAATTGCTCCCCTTCACCAGGTTCCCACCCCACCCTCTGTCCTTTCCCCATCCCCCATTGTCCTCATCCATAGGTGCACAGTTTTTGTTCAGTCTCTTCCCGCACCCCCACTCCCCTTTTCCCTGAGAATCGTCAGTCCACTCCCCTTCCATACCTCTGATTCTATTATATTCACCAGTTAATATTGTTCATCAGATTTTTAAATTCCCTTGGTTTTTAGATTCACTTGTTGATAGCTACGTATTTGTTGATCATAATTTTTTATCTTTATCTTCTTCCTCTTCCTAAATAACCTCCTTCAGCAATTCATATAATTCTGGTTTGGTGGTGATGAACTCTTTTAGCTTTTTTTTATTTGTGAAGCTCTTTATGTGTCCTTTGATTCTGAGTGATAGCTTTGCTGGGTAGATTATTTTTGGCTGTAGATTCTTATTATTCATCACCTTGAATATTTCTTGCCATTCCCATCTGGCCTGCATGGTTTCTGTTGAGAAATCAGCTGACAGTCTTATGGGTGCTCCTTTATAGGTCACTACCTGCTTTTCTCTTGCTGCTTTTAATATTCTCTCTTTGTCTTTTGCTCTTGGAATTTTAATTATGATATGTCTTGGTGTGGTCCTCCTTGGATTCCTTTTGTTTGGAGTTCTGCGGGCTTCCTGGACTTGTAAGTCTATTTCTTTCCCCAGGTGGGGGAAGTTTTCTGTCACTATTTCTTCTAGTACTCTTTCGGTATCTTGCTCTCTCTCTTCTGGAATCCCCATAATTCTGATGTTGGTTCGCTTGAAATTGTCCCAGAGGTTTCTTACACTATCTTCAACTTTCTGGATTCTCTTATCTTCTCCCTTCTGCAGAGGAGTGTCCTCTGGCTCTTTGTATTCTAAATCTTTGTCTTGATTCTTGCGATCTTCCAGTCTGTTTTTAGGACTTTGTATAATATTTTTTATTTCAGACAATGTTTTCTTCATTTCTTGTTGATCCCTTATTATTTCTAGTTGCTCCCTTTTCATATCCTCATAGGTCTCATTTATTTTATCGGCCTTTTTTAGGATATTGTTGAATAACCTTATAACTGTAGTTTTGAACTCAATGTCCAATCTTTTCTTTTCCTCCATCTCCTTCCTTTGTGTCCTTCTTCTTGTCTGCATTTTAGTTCTTTCCCTGATTTGATGGAATAGCTTTGTGTGCTAGGTGTTCTGGTAGAGCCCAGTAGCACAGCCTTCCCAGTTACCTGCAGTGGACAGTCTTGGTGTAGCCCTTTGTGGGCTGTGTGTGCAGTCTTGTTGTTAAGCCTTGCTATTGTTGGTATCACTGGGAAGCGTTGATCTCCAAGCCAATTGGCTGTGAGGATCAGCAGTGTCTCAGCTAGGAGGGTTTCCGTACTCTGCTTGAATAGGGCGGGGTCTCGGGGTGGCGCAGACAATCTTTGGTTCCCTGTCAGTCTCGCCTTAGAAAAGTCCTGAATCTCTCCCAGAGGCTGGCTTTCTCTAAGGAGGGACTTGCAGGAATCCAAAGCTTGTCTGCGCCTTTACCAAAGAGGTGCGCGCACGCCTGCAACCAATCTTCCAAAACTCTCCGCAAACAATTTCTGCTATGTTGTTATTTCTCTGTCCCTTCTACTATTATCCCTATTTTCCTGTCAGTATTTTTAAAATGCTGTTCTTGATGAGGGGAAAATTAATGTCAACATATAACAAATTTACATTAGTTGGAAATACTATAATACTAAACATGTATCTCATTAGGTACATGTGGCTAATTTCTCAATACTTTTGCATAGTCTGTTTACTGCTACCTTATCCTTATCTATCTATCTATCTATCTATCTATCTATACACACACACACACGCACACACACACACACACCATATTTTCCGGCGTATAAGACGACTTTTGAAACAAAAAAAAGTCAACCGAAAATTGGGGGCAAAAGACCAAATTTGCACAAAAATTACCTGCAGATCTTGACGGCAAAGTAAGTCTTTTCTTTGAAGTGGGGGGTAGCCTTATACAGCGAATATAGGCCTAAACCTATGTTTTAACTGCAAAATTAGGGGGGCGTCTTATATGCCGGAAAATGCGGTATATAAAAGCCTAAGCAACAGTTCGACCATCCGACAGGTAGTTATGATGTGCAATGACCACCAGGGGGCAGACACTCAGTGCAGGAGCTGCCAAGCTGTGTTGACTTGGCAGCTGTGGTTCTCACGAACCAGAGAGGAGGGAGCCTGATTCCGGAGTGCATCACCTGAGAACCGCCCTCTCGCAATCCAGGACTCCTCGGGGAATGTTGGAGAGCTGGTTTCAGCCCTGTCTTCACAAGCCAGGCTAAGGGACCCCACTGGTGCACAAATCCATGCACTGGGCCTCTAATTTATAAATAAAGGAAGAGATAAGAGACAGGCGACTACCTCTTTAAAACTAATTAAGTAGGTTAAAATGCCATAATCAACAAACTAATTACTGATTATATATAGTAGTATATATACCGTAGTTAGAAGAAATTCTGCATGGTAAAACTTGGGTTTGAGAATTTCTTACTACCCAATAATTTCCATGTTTTACCTGCTACTTTCCCTCCCCCTCCCACCCCCATCCCCCCATTAATTCTCTACCATAGTGTGCCATAGCTGTTTCTGCCTGAGAGCAACTTACTCTGACTGGTGGCATCTGGGAGGAGTAACTGTGGTAGTATGTAAAACTACCCAGAAATCAGAACTTTGGAGTAATGATTTAGAGATAGATCTATATTCAAGTTAATAGACCTATAATTTATTGAACAATGCAAGTAGTATGTGGTTTTTAAATCTGTTTTTAGATTTTTAAATCCTATTTGTGTTAGATTTTTCTGTGAAAAAAAGATGTGAAGTAGGTGCAAATAAATAAATAGAATTATTGTACAATGTTAATAGTAAATCATATTGTTACTATTTCCAGTTTTTGTGCAGTACCTGAAGGCAGTGAAAATGACATGCGATTTATATACTGTGCTTCCTGTATTTGCTATATGCTCAACAATTGGTCTGGCATGGATATGAAAAAAGCCATCAACTATATTAGAAGAAGTATGGTGAGTTATGTGACTAAATTTACTTTTTAAAATATGTTTTCATTAATTAGAGAGAGAAGGAAGATAGAAAGAGAAATATTGATGAGAGAGAAACATCAGTTGGCTGCCTCCTGCACACCTCCTACTGGTGATTGAACCCACAACACAGGTATGTGCCTGACTGAGTATCAAACTGTGGACCTCTTGGTGCATGGGATGACACTCAACCAACTGAACCAGTAAGAATTTGGAAATAAGAGTAATAAGATTGGTTTTTGGGTATGTCAACAAGCAATAATGGTTATGCTAAGAGGCAAATGAGTCAGTCTGTAGTGAGTTTCTTTCTGGGCCAATAGTTCTTTTGAGTCCCAATTTCAATGTCAAACAGTTCCTTATGTGTACATGTCAGCAATAATATTTCAGTTCTGGATGGTGGACAAATAGTGGTAATGCAGGTCCAACCCTCTCTGGTTTGGTCCTGGGCAACCTGCAGTGACGCACAGCTGCTAACTGCTAGTATGGCAAGGCGTCATCAGCGTCTCCCATCTCTGGACTATTTCTCTTCTGTCTTATGGCTGAAGCAGTTCTGTCAATTCCTCTCTGTTGCAGGAATCCACATGGTCTTGGAGTTGTTTTCTGAAAATATACAAACATATTCTAGACCAAAAATTAATAAAGGAATCTTTTCTATAAATTTAACTTGTGATCCTTTTTCATTTTTTGCCCTAACAATTTTCCTTTGGCTTGTTTTGACACCATGTGTGTTTTTCATGGGTGTCTTGCTGTTAGCATTACGAGAATGGAAGGAAAAGGGAGAGAAAGAGAGAAACATCCATGTGAGAGAGATACATGGATTGATTGACTCCTGAATGCACCCTAACTGGGGCCAGAGATCAAACCTGCCCTTGACTGGTATCGAACCTGTTACCCTTCAGTCCCTAGGCTAACGTTCTAACCACTGAGCAACAGGCCACGATAATACTGAGTGGTCTTAATAATTTTGGGGGGAAATTACAATTGTTCTGTGACCTTTGCAATTTTTTTCAAAACATTAAAAACACTCCTGTCAGTTATAGATGTATAGAGAATTTTTTAATGGTAAAGCCAATATTTATTTAGTACAATGAAATTTAAAATATTAGCAAGATTGAGAATTAAAGTGTTTTCTTGGTAAAAAAAAATTTATCAAGAATAGCTTGGACAGTGCTTTGCTTCTTATATAAGTTACAGTGTAGAGCAAGCATCTTTTCTGTCTTGGTAAATAATCATACTTCTTTATAAGTTTGCATCAACTTCCAACATTTTATCTCTTGCATTTTCATTATATGCAATGAATCTCTGTGTACCTCTCAGAGTTCCTTCTATGTGAAGTTTCTTGCCAGCATCACTTTTCTAGAATATCTTCATTCTTTTCAACCCAACTGCTTTGTTCATCCTTGTAGATATTTTGCCTTTACTTAGTTCTGACTGTAGCACTGTCAGCATTTCCAAGATCAGCTGTTCCTTCTATAACTCTATGTTTGATCTCAGTTTCACTTCCAGTGTTTATGCTTTTCATTTCTTTACTGCACTTGCATCTTTGGTGGACACTATCATACCTCTTTTTATAAATTGTCATGTGGGTTTATCACTAAGAGACATTTGCTGTATCTGCATGAACTAAATAACATGTGCAATGGCAAATTACTGACAGATTTTGAAAAGGGTAATATGATTGGTCACTTGTCATGCATATCTATTACTTATGTAGTGATTTGTGGATTGAGGAACTAGCAGCAAGTTTGTATTTTATGCAATTGATCGTACTTAATGTATAAGTGGTTACTGGAATTTTAGTCATATTGTGTTATTTAAGCCATGAAATCTTGAGTTTGTGCATATTGGAACTGTGCAAAGCAAGGACTGCCTGTATTTTGCACTTAGGTAGACTCTCTTTCAGGTAGTGAGTTTAGATCAGTCTCAGACTTGCCACTATCTCCCCTCCTCTCACTTCCTCACTGTTTTTCAGATTGCCCTTGCTCTCTGCAAAGGTGTCAGGAGTGGGAGAGATGACTTGGTAGGATTTGAGGTTCCTTTTTCTATAGATACGTAATTTGAAGCTTGAACATGTCTTCAAAACAGAAACTTAGCTTTGCTAATGTTTTATTTTTATATAGTTGTATTGTTTTGATTTTGTGGGATATAGGGAGATTAAATTTTAGGCAGGCACCATTATCCTAAGCTATCTAAAAGCCTCAAAATAGTTTCATTTTGTGTTTATAATGATTTTTTAGTATAAAATCTAAATTTTTCTTAAACTCATGTATTCTTGCAAGTGGGAGAGGAATAAGAGTTGGGTGTTTTTATTGAGTAGAAATTGTATATGTGGGTGCCATCTTTGAATAATCTATTTTCAGAATGTGCCTAATGTATGCATTTAGTAATTTGGTGTTGTTAGTAAGACAAAAGCAGGCACTTGAAAATGCCTACATCTATTCTATGTGGGAAAGAATGCATATTTTGGAAGATATAAAGGAGAGAAAAAATAGCATGACAACTTATTTATTATTATTTCCCTATTAAACCAAATAATGTTTTTCTTTTTCAGTCCTATGACAATGGGTTGGCACAGGGAGCTGGACTTGAATCTCATGGTAAGGCATCTTAAAATAAATGAACATGTATTTTCTTTTGTTTCTTCAAATAACATCATGGTATCTTCAACATGGAGGACCTCAGAAGTTTGTCTCAGCCCTTGGTGCAGCCTGACCGTCTTCCTTCCTCCTTCTTTCTTTTGACACTGTTGTGCCAGTTTGAACCTCTTCTAGGTCAGTAATCATTTATAAATTACTCAGACCAGAATTTTCCTGAAAATATTTTGGGGTGATTTTTTAAGATACTGTTTTAAAAAATAGCAAGTTTTCTTCTTTGGCATAACACTAGAAGAGTAGATGCAGGCTATTAAACATGAATCAGTAAATTTGTGAAGAAATGAAAGATTTTTATTTATACTTTCTTTAATATAATTATCTTAAGTCATAGTCATAAAATATTTTGCTTCATAACACATGTTCAATATTTACACTATAAAATTTCTCCTTCCACATTTTTTCCTACTTTTGGCAGAACCAGAATAGAGTGATAATAGTCACTTAGTTTGTCAGCACATCAGTAGTCAACTTTTTCAGATTGAGTATTTCCACGTAGAAGTAAACAAGTTTCCATGGTCCTTTTTAAAAAAGAAAGAGGCTAAATCAAGCAGACTCCTTGCTTCCTCTTCATCACGGCAGTTATTTTTGTATTCACCTGTTGTGTCCGTCCTCTACCAGCGGTATCCCTGACCCCAGCCATATGATCTTGGCTCCTCAATTAGTACCTTTGAGGGCTTCCTCATCAACAAAGTAGAGATAATTGTCTTTTTATTTTGTTATTAAGACTATAGGCGGTAAAGTGGGTTGTAAACTATAAAATATGTATAAAATATTTTTTTTAAATATATTCCTCGATCCCATATCCTTGTACTTTCCCTGGAACCTTGTTCTATCAGGTATCTTTTCACTCTCTCACATCTTTACTCTCTCTTTTGATGTTGGCATTTGTAGTGTGTGTCACTAGAACTATATAGAAGATTGTCTTGGATTTTCCTCTGAGGCCACATTGTAGTTAGGACACCATAATTCTTGTGTGTGCCTGAGTCTATATGAGATTGGCAGTGGGGCCAGCTGGCAGTAGCAATTATGTCACTGGTCATCACTATTTAGTAAGGAAGGATGTACTTGTAGCCCAAATAGGAAATCTGGCATTTATAAGAAATTCCTAAAAAGATACGGCCTGGTAACGATTATTATAAAGGTTGTTAATGGGCACTCCAGCTGAGGAGACACCTTACCAGTATAGGAGACCGGTGGGACAGACACTGGTCCCAAGAAATTGGGATTATGTTCTGTGGGATGTGAAACAGAGAGGGGTTCTGTCAGGAAAAAAATCTTGCTGAGTCACACAAGTAGTGATTTTGAGTCAGTATGATTTGCCTAGGATTGTACCCAGCAAGATCATCAGTGATGGACTGTGACTCATGCCAAAAAGTTTACATTCTTCTTCTAGCTCTAATTTCACCATGGTAGGTTTGAGGCCTAAAGCCCTCGAGGAGCGCTTCCTAATCAGAGTGCTGCAGCACCACAAGTGGGTTCTTGGTGTGCCACGTTATTGCTCTGTTAGCCTTTGTGGCAGCCAAGAAGAGCTGGGTGTCTAGAGCCCCTGGTAAGATGGCCTTTGGCCAGGAGCACACTCCTCAGGACACCTCAGGATGTCCTACAAATAGCAGATACTCTTGTTCCTTTTGTGCTCTGAAGTTAGATAGGATGAAAAGTACTATTCTAGAGGTCTGTGGTATAAGATGAGAAGTATTAATCTTCCCGGTCTCATTTTATCACTATCTACAGAGGTAAGTAAAACCTCTTCCTAAATAGTAGTCCTGCAATTTGGTCTCCCTGCAGTCATTGTATACTCTCTTTTTCTCCATTCTATTGTGTGTGTTTTTTTTGTTTTGTTTTTTCCAAATTATAAGGGAAAGTTTATTTAGAAAAAGACAGGTGTAGAAGTGAGACAGCTGGGCTTCGTAGGCTCAGGAAACAAGTTACAGAGGTAGAAGACAAGCCCTCGGCGCTTAGAGAGAAAGGCGAAGGTAACGCCTGGGGAAAGGAGGGGAAACAGAAAGGTGTGGGTGTGCTCCGGAGAGGGAGAGGGAGCTCTCTCTGTTGTTAATCTTTTTAGAATGGTGGTCCAAATAACTATTTGCCTTTCTACAAAAATGGCTTGTTCTTCAATTTTCTGTATGAGACTTCAGCAACTTAGGAAGTTTCTCTTTTAGTTATGAGTGGTCTTTATTTCAGATCTAGTGTCTCTCATTCCTTATCTTTATTGAAGCATTTGAAGCTATTAACCTCTCCCCCTTCTTTCTTGAAATATCACATTCTTTTTGTCCCACTTCCTGACAAGTTGTTTCTGGCTCCTTCACCATTTTGTTTCTTCTGATCTCTTTACCTTAGCCCCACTTTCTTCTTGCTGAATCTCAGGGTTCTTGTACATGCTGTGTTTTTTACAGATTTCTCCAACCCCAGCCTTAGCATTCACCGGGTTTTGTTTCACATCCTTTAGGTTTGTGTTTATATGATATTTTTGGATAAGCCCCCTGTTTACGGTAAAATTGCAAACTACCAACATACCGCCTATTTAGAATCACATACCAACCCCATATTCATACCCTATGCCTTTTTCTGGCTTTTTCTGCATGTCACTTTTTTATATTTTAGCTATTTATTCACTGTCTTCTCATATAATGTAAGTCTTATGAGAACAGAGATTTGGGCCTGTACTATTCACTATTGTATCCTCACACCTATAACATGTGTGGCACACAGTTGAATGAACCAACAGATGGTTGTTTATCAATCATCCCTGTGTTGATGGCATCCAAACTATTTTTCAAAACATATGCTATTGCTTCTGAGCTGCATACCCCCGTTCTGTCTCTTCAGCATCCCAAACTGCACATGTTTAAACTAACATTCCTCTCCTCTTCTTCCTCCCAAGCCTGTCCTTGTTATTCGGGAATGTGGAAATGCTACTACTAGAGAAGCCAGAAATCCAGAATGTTGAGTGTGTAATCTGTTCTGTCATTATTTTTTTGTAATTTGCTAGTCATACCAGTTGTCCCACATAAGTTACCAGAGTTACTAGTTTATGATCTTTGGCCTATAAACTAAAAGGAAAATAATTTTTTTAAAATATATTTTATTGGCCGAAACCGGTTTGGCTCAGTGGTAGAGCATCTGTCTGTGGACTGCAGGGTCCCAGGTTCGATTCTGGTCAAGGGCGTGTACCTTGGTTGTGGGCACATCCCCGGTGGGGGGGGGTGCAAGAGGCAGCTGGTCAATGATTCTCTCTCATCAACGTTTCTAGCTCTCTATCCCTCTCCCTTCCTCTCTGTAAAAAAATCAATATATACATATATATATATATATATATTTTTTTTTTTTTTTTATTTTTTTTTTTTTTACAGAGAGGAAGGGAGAGGGATAGAGATAGAAGGGTCCCAGGTTCGATTCCGGTCAAGGGCATGTACCTTGGTTGCGGGCATATCCCCAGTAGGGGGTGTGCAAGAGGCAGCTGATCGATGATTCTCTCTCATTGATGTTTCTAACTCTCCATCCCTCTCCCTTCCTCTCTGTACAAAATCAATAAAATATATTTAAAAAAGAAAAAAGAAAAAGAAAAAGAAACATCCATGAGAGAGAAACATCGATCGGCTGCCTCCTGCACACTCCCCACTAGAAATGTGCCTACAACCAATGTACACGCCCTTGACCAGAATTGAACCTGGGACCCTTGAGTCCTCAGGCCGACATTCTGTCTGCTGAACCAAACCGATTTCGACAGGAAAATAATTTTTTGTTGTTGTTGTTAACTGTACACTATGCCAGCTACCATTTAGTATAATTTAATCCTGACACCAGCCCTCTGAGAGTAGTCATCTTTGTATTAGATTCAGAAAAGCAAAACCCTATGGATATGAAAGAATAAGGTTTTATTATAAGAATAATATTTTCCATCACTGTAGAAGAAGACTGAGTATTAAGGTCCTAAAAGGAGTAGTTGATGGATTGGAGAAAAGTCACTGACAAGCCCTCCTGAAGCACTGGCACAGGTGTGCAAGCAAGACCTTGCAGGGGAATCTGGGAAGCCAGGCACATCCAGCTGCAGAGTGTGACTGTGGGGAGGGAGTCTGTGGAGGGCTGTTGCTCCTGCATCTGTTTATGTGCCTGGTATCACAAGGACAAGAAGTAAGAAAAACTTGGATTCCTAGTATATAGAGAATAAGGGTCAAGCAGGAATCTGCCAGCACTTCTCTGCTTTTGTCTCCTTCCGCCCCTAAACAACCAGGGCACAGGCTGCTGCTTCACTTCCATCTTACAAATCTTACAGATTTTCTCTAACTTCAAGCCATACAGGAAGTCCTAGCGCAGCTAAGTTATTACAGTACAAAACCACCACAATAATTATTGCCATTTTACTCAGAGAATTTATTATAGGCTGTAAAGAGAATGTATTCTCCAGTGCTCCTTCATGCCTCTTCACCTCTGGACTTTGCTAGTACTCTTATTTATTTATTTGTTTGTTTGTTTATGCCCGAAATGCTTCCCTTCCACCTGCTCTTTCTTAATTCCCTTCAGAGTTTACCCATCTTTCTATGCCCGATTCCAGTGTCACATTTTCTGAAAACCTTTCATCATCTGGTGTCATTCATCCACCTCCATCCCCCAATCCCTGAGCAGTTTCTCCCTTATCTATATTTCTATAATACTTGGTTCATACCATTTTCATGGTACTTACCTCAGTTTATTTTATCTTCTCTGCTAAATTGTAAGCTGACCATGTCTTATTCATGTCTTACTCCATATGTGCTTGTATATCGTAGTTGTTAAGTAAGTACTTAATGAATAGCTTACCCAGTATTTCACTCTGCATCTTAAAGCAAAAAAGGCTGAATTTGTGCTATGTACTTAATAATCAAGTTTCTTCATGGACTTTTCTTCCTAATTCTGCAATCTAAATGTTATTTAATACACTGTTGTTTTGTTTTATTAATTCATCTGCTCTTCTCCAATTACTGCTTAGCCTGGAGCCCATTTGTCATGAAAGCTAAACAGGCACGTTATATATACCCTTCTAGACCATGATCATGTAATGATTCTATTTACCTTAGTGATTCTCTTATAATAGCTCAGTGCTGGTGTTTGGAACGAATTGGATTTACATGATTTGCTAG